TACCAAGACACTGAAGACCGTGTGGAGAGAAGCAGCTTTGACAGAAATGGTTCTTGGGACAATTGGATGGCAGTGTGGAAGAAACATTAAATTGGAGCCTGTACTAGTTATGTATTACTGTGTAACGAAGTGCCCCCAAATGCAGTGGCTTAAAAGATTTATCTCACAGTGTCTGTGGGTCAGGAATCCAGGGGCCCCTCGGCTGGATGGCTCTGGCTCGGGGTCTCACGTGTTTGCAGTCACACGTCATCTGAAGGCTCCGCTGGGGCTGGAGGGTCTGCTTCCAAGGTGGCTCCTCCTGTGGCTGTTGGCGGGAGGCCTCAGTTCTTTGCCCCGAGGCGCTCTCCATAGGCTGCTGGAGTGTCCTCATGATGTGGCGTGGGCGTCCCCCAGAGCGAGCAATCTAGCAGAGAGCAGGGAGAAGTCATAGTGCCTTTTATTTGCATCCTGATCTTGGGCGTCACACACTGTCACTTCTGCCACACTCTGGTCATTATAAGCGAGTCACAAAGAGCAGCCCACACTTAAGAGGAGGGGAATTAGGCTCCACCTTTTCAAGGGAGGAATATCAGATAACTTGTGGGCATATTTTAAAACCGCAGACCCCTGCTTCACACCATACAAAAACGTCAGTTCCACGTGGATTACAGACCTAAATGTGATGTAAGCTATCGTGCTTTTAGAATACACTCTCTTTGGGAAGATGCCTGACCTGGTTAATGCTCAGAGAAATGCAAATTGGCTGTAGGGAGGTACCACTGCCTTGCACCAGACTGGCAAAAAGAACTTTTTTTTTTTTTTTTAAATTAAGATTATGATAGTTTACAACCTTGTGAAATTTCAGTTGTACATTATTGTTAGTCATGTTGTAGGTGTACCACTTCACCCTTTGTGCCATCCCCCCATCCACCCTTTCCCCTGGTAACCACCAATCAATCCTCTTTGTCTCTATGTGTAACTTCTACCTATGAGTGGAGTCATACAGAGTTCATCTTTCTCTGTCTGGCTTACTTCACTTAACATAATACCTTCAGGGTCCATCCATGTTGTTGTGAATGGGACGATTTTGTCTTTTTATGGCTGAGTAGTATTCCATTGTATATATATACCATATCTTCTTTATCCAATCATCAGTTGCTGGGCTCTTAGGTTGGTTCCACGTCTTGGCTATTGTAAATAATGCTGCGATGAACGTAGGGGTGCATGGGACTTTTGGAATTGCTGATTTCAGGTTCTTAGGATAGATACCCAGTAGTGGGATGGCTGGGTCATAAGGTATTTCTATTTTTAACTTTTTGAGAAATCTCCATACTGTTTTCCATAGTGGCTGTACCAGTTTGCATTCCCACCAACAGTGTATGAGGGTTCCCAAAAAGAACGTTTTATGTAAAACAAGTGATATATAAAGCAGTTGGAACGCTCCTCTGTTGCTGCTGGGAGTGGGAATTGCTCCAACCACTTTGGAAAGCAGCTGCAGCGTCCAGTGATTCATGTTGTAGAGCCTGCACCTGACTGGTGTGCACCAGGGTCTGAGTACGGGGTGTTCACAGCGGCCTGTCCATTGCAGGCCCAGGCTGAAATGCCCCGGTCCCTCAGAAGCGGGGGGCTGTGTCACGGGGGGTTCAGTCATGTAGTGGACTATTGCCCTGCAAAAGGCCGAAACCTTAGAGCCACACCCCTTGGAGTGGATGGCCCCCATGCATGTGACGGGAGTGAGAGAGCGCAGAGAACGCGGGCCGGCTCCCCTGCGTAAGTCCAGCCTGTCAGCACTGCGCCCTGTCGTTCCCAGGGCGTGTGTGGGTCAGAGGTGGGAAAACTGTGAAGAAAACTAAGGAGGCGATTGCGGCCAGGAGGAGTGAGGGGCAGTCTTGGGGCTGCTTGGCATCTTGATGAGGTGGTGCTCGCACCGCTTTGCGTTTCTGTTTTATGTGCATTGTGATTTATGCACTGCCTATATTTCTATCACACTTCACAATAAAAAAAGTTTTTAAAAAGGGACCCTGACACACTGGTGGAAGCGTGTGTGGAAGCACGTCCCAGGTACAGGGGACCCCTGTTCCGCCAGTCCCAGGAGGCAGGGCATGCAGGACTGACACAAGGTCCAGCCTGGCCGGAGAGTAGTGGGAGGGTGTCCTGGTGGGGGATGGACTGGGCTGCTGAGTGGTCAGGTGGAAGTCTGCGCAGGCCCTGGGCCCAGGATGTTCATGGGCCATGTAAGAAGCTTGGACCTTCTGTGGGACCAGTGGGGCCTGAGGAGTATTTCACGCAGGGGTGACTGGGTCAAGGTTTGCCTTTTCAGTGCCCTGGGGCTACAGCATGGAGAGCGTCTGGGGCCCCGACTAGGAGCAGGAACACAGGTAGAGGCCTTGTGAAAACTGCAGACCCAATGGGACCTGGGGGTAGGAACAGGCTGGAGGGAGGGGGCCTAGGGGTGGTCCTCTGGCCTCACCTTGGGTGGCATTGCTCCCTGAGATAAGGGCCCAGCCTCGCTGAGCCTCCTCACTCCCCCCATTGCTGCTTTCCAGTTCTCAGACTTGCCAGGTGTCTTCCGCTGGGCCTTTGCCCTGACACTTTACTTGGCCTGGGTGCTCCTTCCTGCCCATGAAATGGGCACTTTGTAGCTGTGTCCATCATCTGCTGCCCTTCCTTGAATGCTGGCCTGGGAGGAGCAGGGGCTGTTGCTGCTACTTGTAGAATGAATGAATGAGCAGGAAGAGGAGCAGGAGATGCAGGCTTTCTGGAGTCTGGATCTGCCTTGGTGACAGTTGTGGTGGCAGGGTCACCGAGCCATGGTGGAAGGTGACCAGTGCCAAGAGTCCCAGAGCAGGAACTCACTTCTTGGGGGTCCTCAGGACCCCTGAGGGTGGGAGCCTGGGAGTCTGGGCAGCAGGGGCTGGGCCCAGGGGACTCAGAAGGGCCATAGGAGGCCCCAGGCCCCAGGCAGCCATGCAGACAGGTTTGGAGCCAGGCCCACCAAGTTGCTGCCCAAAGTGGGTCCCCGAGACCCTGTGGTGGGAGGAAGGTGGAAGGACAGGGACGTTAGGAGGTCCAGGCACGTGCCACTCTGAGATTGGGACATGAAAGAAGGACCCCTTTGGGATAGGAGACCATTAACCGCATTCCTGTTGGCTGTGAGACACTTGGGAGCCTCGAATGACAGGTGAACATGACTAGCCAGCTGCTGAGACAGAGTGGGAGTCACCAAAAGCGAGGGTTCCAGAAGAGGCAGGGGGATGTGGCCATGGGGAGTCAGGGTGGACTCAAGACTCCCGGTTGCCCATCTCCCTTGAGGAGCCTCTGCTGCCCCGGGCTGTAAGCAGGGATGGCAGTCTCTCTAGCTGTATAGGACTGTCTCTGAAAGTGCATCTGATGCTGTGCCAAGCAAGGGTTAGGTGACAGCTGATCTGCCCTTTCTGCTGCTGGAATGATCCTCGTGGTTTCCCACTGCCTGCGAGGCCAGGAGTTCGGGAGGCCATTCGTGCCCTTAATCCTTGAGCTCGAGTTCCTGCTTCTGTGACTCTGCGCAGCTTGAAACCTCAGGGAGCTGGACGTCAATATGGCACCTGAGTCCACAGCCCAGGTCCCAGTTGGCCAGCTGTCCTGGGAATGTCCTTTATAGCAATGTCCCCTCCAAATAGGTTTGGTGTCGGACCCCTGCGTGGTTCTGTTGGGGGCAGTGCCTAGAGTGGGATGGCGGGGCGGGGGGAGGATGTCTGTTCTGCAGACACCCCTGCAGCCTCATGGGACAGTCCCAGTGGTTCCATGCCTTCCTATACTTGGTCTCTATTCTGGTGGGAGTGTGGGCTTTCCTGTGCATTTCCCTGAGGACTAATGACCTGGAGCACCTTTTTGTGTGTTTCCTGGTGTGAAATGACTGCTGTCACCTTTGGCCTGTTTTATGATTTGGTGGAGGTTTCCTTTGGCTTCTAGTTGCTCTTCTGATATCAGTCATGGGGTGTGTGATGCCAATATCATTTCCTACTCTGTGGCTGAGTTTCTCCCTCTTTATTTTTTATTATTATTTTCTTTCTTTCTTTTTTTTTTTTGAGGAAGATTAGCCCTGAGCTAACTACTGCCCATCCTCCTCTTTTTGCTGAGGAAGACTGGCCCTGAGCTAACATCCATGCCCATCTTCCTCTACTTTGTATGTGGGACACCTACCACAATATGGCTTTTGCCAAGCGGTGCCATGTCCGCACCCAGGATCCTAACCGGCAAACCCTGGGCCACTGAGAAGTAGAACGTGTGAACTTAACCGCCACGCCACTGGGCCAACCCCTCTCACTCTTTGTTTTTAAACTTTATTTTCAGATCATTGCAGACTCACTTGCAGTTGTAAGAACTAGTTCACAGAGAGCCCTGCGCACTCTCCCAGTCCCCTGAAGGCGCATGACTGTAGTGCAGACTCCTCGAAGACGCTGACTTCGACACCTTCCATTGACCTTTCCAGATTTCACCAGTTTTATGTGCACCCGAGTGTGCGTGCATGCGTTTGTTTACTTCTGTTCAGTCTTACCACATGTCTAGATTTGTGTGATGACCACAGTCAGGGTACAGAACAGCTCCATGACAAGGGTCCTGCCCTCCCTATGTAGCCATGGTCACCTCCTCCCTGAGCCCCACCCACGCCCTGAGATCTTACCACTTCGAGAATGTTGTACGAATGGGGTTGCGCCACGTGTGACTGATAGAAATGAGCACAGTGCACTTGAGATCCGCCCAGGTTGCGTGCAGCACAGCTGGTTCCTTTTTATTGCTGAGGAGTGTTCCACGCTGTGGGTGGACCAGAGTTTGGTTAACCACCCATCAAAGGATATCTGGGTTGTTTCCAGTTTTAGGCGGTTATGAATAAGGTTGCTATGAAATTTGTGTACAGGTTTTTATGTGCACTTAAAGTTTTATTTCTCAGGGATAAATGCCTAAGAGCACAGCAGCGGGGTCATATGGGAAGCACATGTTTATGTTTAGTTTTTCTAAGAAACTGCCAAACTGTTTTCCAGGTGGCCGTGTCATTTCATGTTCCCACGGTCCTGTGGGAACCCCATTTTCTTCACATCCCGGCCATTCTGACAGGTGTGTAGTGGTGTGTCACTGTGGTTTTAATTTTCGTTTGGCTCATGGCTACTGCTGTGTAACATTCTTTCATGGGCTTTTCTGCATCTCTACCTCCTCTTCAGTGAAACGTTTATTCGCATCTTTTGCCCCGTTTCTCATTGGCTTGTTTGGTTGTTTACTGCTGCGTTTTGAGGGTTCTCCCTGTGTGCTGGCTGGAAGCCCTCTGTTCGGGCTGTGGTCTGCACATGTGCTCTCCAGTCAATAGCTTGTCTCCTCACCCTCTTCACAGGGTCTTCAGTAGAGATAGTGTTCTTGATTTTGCTCAGGTCCACAGTCCCATTTAGAGGCTGTGCTTTGGTGTCAGTCTTTATGGAGGTTGTATTCCTTCACCTTTTACATTTAGATGGACAACACACCGTGGGGGGGGGGTGCAGGCAAGATGAGTTTTTCACCGGTGGCTATCCAGCTGACCCAGCACCATTTATTGAAAAGGCTCTTTTTCTGTTGCTCTGCAGTGTCATACATTGAGTGTCTACCCACGTGTGGGTTTGTTTCTGGACTCCATTCTGTTCCACTGGTCTGTTTTTCCTACCCTAAGCCAAGACCTCAGGGTCTTACTTACCAAACTTTATAATAAATCTTGATATCTAATAGTCTAAGTCCTTCAGATTGTTCTTTTTTAGGATTGTCCCAACTATTCTTGGCCTTTGCATTTCATATAAAATGGAGAATTAATTTGTGAGTTTCAAATATAACTACTGGAATTTTGATTGGGATTACATTTGAATCTTAGACGAATTGGGGGAGAAATGACCTTTTTATAGTTCTGAGTCTTTTGACCATACGTATGGTTTGTCCCTCCATTTACTTGAGTCTTTTTTCATGTCCTTCAATAAGTTTTTCTGGTTTTCTGTGTAGAGGTCCTGTACATTTTTTATTAGATTTATTCCTGGACATTAATGCTTTTGGATACTATTATATTATAAATAGTATCATTATAATTTTTCATTTTTTAATTGTTGCTGGCATTTATAAATAACAGTAGATTTTTGTACATTAAACTTATATTTACCAATATAATGTTCTCATATTAATTCTAATAGTTTTTCTATAGGATCTTTCAGGTTTTTATCATACACAATATGTCATTTGCAAATAATGAGTTTTTTTCTACCTTCCTGTCCTTATTCCTTATATTTCTTTTTCTTGCCCAATTGCACTGGCTCAAACCTTTAGTGCAATATGAATAGAACTAGTGGTAGCACGTGTCTTTGTTTCATCCCTTAGGGTTTGTTGTTTTGTTTTTAGTTAGGTTGGGATAATCACCATGCTGATGGCAAGGATTTAGAGGAGGGAGAGAGCTGATGCTGGAAGACAGGGGTCCTGGAGGGGTCTTGGGGGCGGGAGTGGGCACAGGTCTGTGCCGTGGGTGGAGCATTGTGGCAGGTGGGAAGGCCCTGCAGGGGGGCTCAGTGGCAAGTGGGTTGTTCAAGGTGGACGTCCTCTTCTGATGGCTTCTGTCTTCTCAGGAAACGTCAGCAGCTGAGTGTGAGGATGAGAGAGAAGGGGCAAGGGAAGCTGTGAGACTTCCAGAAGCATTAAGGCTGTCAAGTGTGGTCTTCAGTCAGCAGCTCTGCTTGTACATTCAGAATTGGGGCAGTCGAGCTTGACTGGGGCTGGCATTTTCCAACCAAGACAGTGAAGCAGGCTTGAAGTGTTGGGGCCTCTGGAGTGCTGGAGTCAGGGTTTTCGGGAGTGAGCTGGGAAGGGAGTGGTGGTCAGAGAACTGCGTGTTTAATTGAATGCCGGGGTGGGGTGGGGGGTAGTTCTGGTGGTGACAGGGTTGAGGACATAATTGGGGCAGAGGACAAGGCCATTGGCAGGAAGGAGAGGTCAAGACTGAGGGGCAGGGAGTTGAGGTGGTCCCTGAGAATATTGAGACCACCAGGAATTCAGACCCGACACAGTGATGGGGTGATGCCCACAGCAAGGGCCGGTGTGGGTGGTTGGTGCAGCTGATGGCTCATGTCAGCGAGGACTCTTAGGGAGAGGGGAGGAGAGGGGGCTGCAGGCCACAGCAAGGAACAGGGGTGGGTGCCCCACTTCAAGGCCAGGGGGCCAAGGTGGGGAGAGAAAAAGCAGCCCCCAGAGAAGGCTGGCAGGAAGGGAGCAGGGTGGAGGGGAGCCGGGGTTCCTGCAGGAGAGCGAAGGTGAGCAACAGGCCTAAGGACACGGGAGGGTTGTGGGTGACTGGCTCCAGGGAAGGGCTTCAGGATTCCGGGGTGGAGGGTGGGGTCAGAAGCCCATCCTCTGTGCTCCTTCTCTGAAAAGCCTCTCTCTTGCCTACCTCGCCTCTCAGCCAAGGCTCCTAGAAGGGAGGGCCCCCATGGCTCCACCCACTGTGGCTTCCACTGGGACTGCTCCTGGGTAGCAGTGATCTCGTAACACTTTTTCTTTTAAAAAGACAGAGTTGCTCTTTTGAGAAAGATCACCTGTGCACGGGGCAGGCATACCCCTAGGGCACCGTCTTGAAACAGTGTGTTGGGTCTAAGGCCTTTCACACTTCAGTAGATGCCTCCAGGGCATCTCTTAGGGCTGATGCTCTTGGCTTCTGTGGCCCAGCTGCGTGTGCTGTCCACACTCGTGGTCCAAACGTGTGTCCTACTTGTAATTTGCATGTTAATTATTTGGGTGTTGAGTGTATGTTGGTTGTTTCCAGTGAGGTCTGTGCCCTTTGTCCCGTGAGCTGTCCTGCCCTGTGCCCACTATGCACACACGGCCCCCTCACGGTTGACCCGAGGACCACTTTGTTGTGTATTGTAAATGTTTTTGTCCAGTTGACCATCTGCCTTCTGACTTTGTAGGTTTTGTTTTGTTTTTACAGTATACTCGGATTTATCAGTTTTCTCTTCGGTCTCTGGGTTTTATGTCAGCTTAGAAAGGCTTTCGCCTTTGCTGGGATCACACGAATGTTCTCCCTTCTTCCTGCTTGTACTTCTGTGGTTTTGGTTTTCCTTACTGCTGTGTCTGTGCTGTGTCTGGTATTGACTGGGGTGAGGAGAGGTGGGAGTCAGCTCTGTGTTCTAGGCGGCTGCCCGCTGTCCATTGGAGCCGTCCTTCCCCTGTTGCCCACGTGGCTCTCCTGCACTTCCTGCTGTGGCCACTCTGGTCCTCCTGTCTGCATCTCTGCTGACCACTTGCTCTTGGGCTTCCTGGCCCCAGCTCACCTTGGACACTGCTTGGTCCCACTTCTTGAGGCCCTCCTTCTTCTCTCTGCTCCTCGCTGGCCCTCTCCTTGCATCTGACAGCCTGTCCTAGTCTCATCCTGTTACTCCTGTCCTCTCCCGTCCATTCCCTGCTGGGCGTGTGGGTCCCAGTATCTCTCCTGTAAGGTTCCCCCCAGCCCCCCCGGTTTGGATCTTATCACTCATTTGTCTGAAAGCCTCTGTGGCTCCCACAGTTTGTTGGGCAGAGGCCAGCTTCTTGGCTGGGGACAGAAGACACTGTTCCTCCTACAGCCCTGCCCTCCCAGGCCTGACCTGAGACCCAGCAGGTGTGCTCATACTTACTCTTCCAAAACAGAGTGCTTAAAATTGTTTTGAAGAGGTTTATTCTCACATGGCTCAAAGGTCAAGCAGCAGTAATGACCCACCAGGCCGGCCCGCCAGCCCTCTGCTCCCCTCCAATGGCCACTTTAGTCATTTCTGGTCTATCTTTTTTGTGTTTCTTATATATATGTAAGTGTATATTCTTATCTTACTCCCTTTTTACACAAAAGGTAGCATATTATATACAGATTTTATACCTTTTTTCTTCACTGGAGAAACACTATTTCTTAGCAACCTTTCCATGATAGTGCACAGGGAGCTTCCTCATAAACCCTTCAGGGGCTTATTTAATGAGACCCCTTTGATAGACATGTGAGTCATTTCCAGTGTTTTCTGTCATAAAGGCTGCTGCAGCGAGGGGCCTGATAGTAGTGCTGCGGGATTAGCTCTAGAATATTCTAGAGCAGGCTTGCTGGGGGCAGGTGAGTGCACCCTGGGGATGGCCACCCTGCACTTGCACGATATCACAGTGGTGAGGGTGCCCATGGCAGCACCCTCAGATCTGCTCCTCCTGTGGTCTCCTGGCCAGTGTGAGGAGCCAGCTGCCCACACTTGGCTCCCTGGCCTCAATGTCCTTGCCACTCACACCTCCTCAGCCTGCCCCCCCACTGCCAGCTGCGGCTCTCTCAGTGTGCCCTGTGAGGCCCTGCCATGGGTTTGCAGCTGGGGCCTCCTCCCCAGAGCTTCCTGTGGCCACTTACTCCTCTTCATGTGTGTTTGGGTGCAGAAACCCTCCCCAGAGCCGCGCCCAGGGCCTTTTGTGCCCCACTACAGTGGATGTCATCTTACTCACTGACGTACTTCCTGCTCCTCTGCTGAGGGCAGGACCTGTCGTCCTGGCCCCTTCTGTCCCATGACCCCGTCCCCAGAGCAGAGCCAGGTGGAGCAGGGGAGTGAGGAGAGTTTGTCAAGTGACCAGAGCATGCATGCCAGTCAAGTGCCCATTGTGAAGCATGCCCTGCCCTCCCGGGTCGGGGGGCCAGGTCACCTGTTCATGGCCCAGTGCTGCACTTGTCACGTATGAGGGTCTTCAGATGCCTGGCTCCTTCCCTGCCTGGATGATGCAGGCCACAGGCACCTCTGGCCTGAGCACGTCCACTCCTTGGCCACACTGAGCTGCACCTGGCCTTGCATCATCAGCCCTTCACAAACACTGAACGAAGACCCTTCTTCCAGGTCCTGGCACGTGGCTGGAAAGACGGGCAGGGAATGTACCCTCAACAAGCTTGTCCTCTGGTGGAAGGCACAGGCTGGGACAAAAGTGCCCTTGGCATCTGGTGTCCTGCCTCCGTCTGCCCGTGAAGCTGCTGTGGGGCATTTGTGCCTGCAGGAGTCGGGACATGCCGTGGTGACAGGAGAATTCCGAGGTGAGCCAAGCCGGGGTAGGGGTGGGTGAGTGTGGGACAGGTGCTGAGGTTGGCCCTCAAATCAGGTTAAGCATGTCCCCAGAGGCCTGGTTGCGTGCCCTCACTGCCCCATGAGTCCCACATCACAGTCCCTGCCCTCATTCCTTCTCTGCTCGTGCAAGTAGACCACCTTGTCTCCGTGACAGCCCATCTTGCACCAGGATAGTGTCAGCTCTGCATTGGGGTTTCTGGTGAATGCGTCACAGCCCCTCACCCATGACATCTAGATGACCTCACCTTGTTAATGGACACATCTGTGTGTGTGATTCTACAGAATGAGGACACACACTTTACTCTTACCAGAGGGAGGGGCATCTAGGTAGTTTCCCGTCTTTTGCTATTGTAGATAATGCCACAAATACAACCAACTTTTGATTGCAAGTTACAGGAACCTACTCCAACAAGCTAAGCAACAGGGATGCGAAGCCCTAGAACCAGGGGGAAGGTGGGCACCGGACCCCCTGCTGCTCCTCCCTTCCCTCCCCTGCCCCTTCACCTCCTCCTCCCTCTCTCTGAACAAGGCATGGCCGCCCTGTCTCTGGGTGAGTAGAGGGGCACTTATTGCCCCTCACGGGCTCTGGGATCTTGTTGCAGTGCCCCTAATTCTCACATAGCTGCTATGAGTGGGCGTGAGAGGCAGGATGATGGAGGGATTAACAGGGGACTCTGGATTTAGGTATAGCCTCAGTTTCCCCACCTGGAGAGTGGGGATGATGACAGGGACCTGCCAGAGGAGGGCTGTGGCAGTGAGTAAGGAGAGGGCTGCTGGGACACGTACGCCAGCACGGGTCTGTCCGCGCTGGGACACATATGCCAGCATGGGTCTGTCTACACTGGGCCTGGGTCTGGGCACTGGGCTGTCCATCCCCTAGGCCAGGGGTCTGGCAGTACTCTCAGCAGTCTTTGGGGATGGCCCAGTACTGTGGGCTGAGAGGATGGGGGCAGTGGCCATTCTTCCAGAAGGCTCCTCCCAGACTTCCATGCACTTGCCTGGGACGGAGGTGAAAACTGGACGAAATCACCCAGCTTATCTCTGTGTGGCATTCCAGGGAGGCTTGGGGGAGGATTTGTGGACTGAGGTGGGGGCTGCCCTGCTCAGACCCCCTCGGCCTTGGTGTGGTGTAGGGTCCATTTGGAGGGACTCCATGAGCTGTCCTGGGTTTCGTGCCGAGGGGCATCTTCCAGCTCTGGCAGGCTGTTCTTGGACTGTGTGGCTGGGAGGAGGTGGCTGAGTGAGGTTCAGGAAGGGGCAGCAGGCAGGGTCCAGAGGGTTGGGGGTTTGAAAGCTTAGGGCACTGAGTACCGTGGCACCCCTTCAATGGAGACTGTCCCAGGACGAGGTGCTCACTGCAATGGGGCCCTGGGACTCCTTAAGGTCACCTTAGGCACTTCCTTTCTCTCAGAGGAGGCTGTAGGGTTACCCATGGACCTGCCCAAGGTTATTCAGAGACTGCCGTCAGGCAGCTTTCAGCAAGGAACGCTATACAGGGGCCCAGAGGGGACGTGGGGCTTCAGGAAGTGGCTCGTCAGAGTCAGCGGCCGAGCACCCATGTGGGCTGCCACGGCCCAGACCAGGAGCCAGAGTCTTCTGCCTTTGCTCCTGGGCGTGCGGGCCAGAGGGGCCTGGTCTAGCCCTGGCCTCTGTCCTCTCTTCCTGGTGCAGCCAGAGCGGTGGGCCGGGCTTGAGGCTCTCCAGGTCTGCTCCGTGATGAATTTTCACAGATGGCCTTCAGAATGAGAAAACCAAAGACAGCACACACTCAGCTGGAGAAGCCGACTGCTCTTCTAGGGTGTTCTCTATCAGACTTGGGCATCAGAATCTCTTTCTCGTATGAAATGATGGCGGTAAACCTTGTTAAACTTAACAAAATTCAAGTGGTGGCTCTGATGCTAGCACCCATCTTGGAGAAGTGAAACTGGTCCCTGAGACCCTGGACCATTCTACTGGGGAGCCTTGGCCCGTGGGGGGGCCGCCTCCCTCATGAACAGGGTGGGGCATGGCCTTCTCTTCAGGTCCCCTCCCTGTCCCCAGCCTGAGACTGGGGGCCCTGCTTGGAGTGGGAGGTTCAGTTTGGCTTCCCTGGCAGGCCCACAGACTGACGGCAGAAAGAAGGTCCCACCTTGCAGCCATGTGTGTGGGGGTGGTGCCAGCTCCCCTAGGTGAGCATGAGGGGAGCTGTGAGTGGCCAGCAAGGAAGGAGGTGCGTGAGGGCTCTGCCATGCCCGGGGTGTGGTCTGGGACCCACCCCATCCTCATGGTGGGGAGCTGGCGGGCGCCTGAGGGACCTGGCCCTTAGCCTGTCTGGTTGTGGGGAAGCTTTGTCTCAGAGGGCAAAGGCAGGCCCTGGGGGCCCAGCAGAGTATCTGGATAGTGCCCGTCTGCCCTGGCCCCAACAGTCATGCAGAGGTGGCCAGTTGGGGGCAGGTTGCTCAGAGCAGGGGTGCTACCTAGAAAGCTCTTTCCTGGGCCTTACTGGTCCTGCCCCATCCCTAGGAAGCCTCTGAGGCCAGGCTGGCAGAGTGGACCACTGAAGCACGGGTGAGTCCAGGCAGGTCAGACTTGGGAAGTGAACCTCCTAGGGACACTGGGGGTCCTGAAGCAGGAAGGACTGACCTAATTTGATCTGGCCCAGGACAGTTCCCTTCCAGAAAGAGGGGGCACTCACTGAGACCCCTGAGAACAAGTCAGGCCAGAGGAAGGCTGGGTCAGTATCTAGATGGACACGAGGCCTGGCCGGGTGAGAATGGGGGCTCCTGGAGGACAGGCTGAGGTGTGAGTGGGCACCTTCTGGGTGGAGCATGGCCAGGGCCTCCTGAAGAGTGTCCTGTGATCATACCCAGCGACCACACCAGGGGTGCTGGGCAGGACGACCCGTGATGGGTACTTGGGGCTGTGCCCCAGCCGAGCTGCCTGCCTCCCTGCCTGCCTGTTCTGATAGATCCTAAGCCAGGCAGGCCGCTGGTGTCTGTGTCCATACAACCAGGGCTTTTATTGCAGCCCAGCATGGTCAAGGCGTTGACTGGCCTGGACCAGGGATCCCAACAAGGAAGAGGCCCAGATGCTGGGCGGTGAGGAGGTGGGGTGCTGGTCAGGACAGGCTGTGCCCGCTGCCCTCAGCAGCCGAGAAGCAGGGAGGCCTGAGGCCCAGGAGGCAGGGCCTGCCCCCGGGAAGGTTGTAGCTTGTATAGCCCTCAGCACAGTTTCAGGAGATCTCAAGGAGAAGGTGACCCTGCCTGACCTCGCCTGGGGCAGACAGGTCAGCAATGCTCTGGGGGCTAGGGCCAGAGCCCAGGGCCCTGAGAAGCTGCAGAGACCTCCCAGAGGCCAGTGCCTGGGCCTGGCGGGGCAGCCTCGTTAGGAAGGCCCACCTCAAGCTGGCAGTACAGGCCTTGCTGCCTTCTCTCGGCTGCACACCCTCTCTGAAAACACTGAGTGTGTGAGCCAGAATGGGGGCAGAGCAAGCTCCCTCCCATCTGCCAGGATTGTTGTCCAGCAGTGCTTGCTGCAGGCAGGGGGTGGGCCTCACACAGGGCAGGGCCCTGATCTCACCTGCTGACCGCTGGGAGCCGGGCCTGCCTCATCCAGGAGCGGCCTTGATGTGCTTCCTCATTCCTCCTCAGGCCAGCGGGAGCCACCTGCTTTCTGCAGCTTGATCGCCTGGCTCCACTGAAGGGGAGGCCCTCCTGAAGACACAGTTGGCAGGGCCGCTGTGCCCTCAGTGCCCTGGCTGCTTGGAGAGCATCACTCCTGGACACGGGGGGGCTGGGACCCCAGGACTCTGAGAACGCCCTGCCCTGGTCTCTGTGGCTGCTGAGCCCGCCCTCCGGCCACACCTCCTCATTAGCAATGATGCACTGACCCTGGAAGACAGCCAGGAGGAGGGAGAAGGGAGGAAAGGCCACTCATGGCTGCTTCCAGGCCCCACCCAGGCTCCTAGGCCTGGGAGGTGAGGGAGCTTCTACGGCTCCCAGAGGCCTCTACCCATTCTCTTCTTGCTCGCCCAGGTGCCAGGAAGCTGCAACTTTGTTATCTGGGTAATTAGCTTCAGACCCTGGACTGAGGCTGGCCGGGTCCTGGGCTGCTTCCCACAGGCTGTGCACCCTGACCCCAAGAGGGAGGTGAGGCCCTGCCTGTTCAGCGGCTGAGGTGCCAGGGCTCCTGAGAGGCCGGCTGCTGGCACCATTCCACGCTGTGTTTGCTGCCTGGGGCCTGCGCCCCTCAGGGCTGCCTGGGCCTGCTCACAGCGTGGGGCCTCCTGACCCAGCCTTGCCAGGGGCAGTGGGCACCAAGCGTTGGGGAGGGGATGCCCCCGAGGGTGCCAGTCCAGCCAGCTGCCCCGCCCCTCAGGCCCAGCCTGGCCCCTGCACTCCCCCGTCTGGTGCCCCAAGTAGCCCCCCTGGCAGGCAGTCCCCGCCATGGCCGAGCACCTGGAACTGCTGGCAGAAATGCCCATGGTGGGCAGGATGAGCACGCAGGAGCGATTGAAGCATGCCCAGAAGCGACGTGCCCAGCAGGTGAAGATGTGGGCCCAGGCTGAGAAGGAGGCCCAGGGCAAGAAGGGCCACAGGGAGCGGCTGCGGAAGGAGGCGGCCAGCGACAGGCCACAGAAGCGGGTCCTATTCCCTCCCAGTGTTACCCTTCTGGAGGCTGCTGCCCGAAATGACTTGGAGGAAGGTGAGTGTGGCTGAGCCCTAGGGCAGTTCACGGCCAACAGCCCTGTCCCTGTCACCCTGGCGTAGGCCTCAGGAGAACTGCCAAGGATGCAGCCCCCTCTGTGGGGTCCCAGGATCTGGCCTGGCTTCCTCAGCTGCAGGCCCCAAGTGGTGGGCAGCCCCGAGGCCAGCCTGTGACAGGGAAGCATGCAGGGAACCTATGGGGGTGAGGCTGACTGGGCAGGCAGGGGCATGGGCTGGGCCCATAGGAGCCTGGAGAAGCACCCAGGGCTTGGCTTAGGTGGGCTGGGAGTGGTCCATAATCTTGGCCACCTCTTGCCAGGGTGCTAGGTGATGCTCAGGAGAGTCCTGGCCACCACCTACTTGGGTCCTGAGTCTCTGCGTCTGTAAAGTAGGACAGGAACACCTACCTTAGCAGGTCAGAGGGCAGGGAGCAGGGCCCCCCACACAGGTTGCCCCCTCAACGCCTGCCCTGGTCTCGGTCTTTCACTTCTTTCTTTTCATCAGAGCCTTCCTGCCAGATGAGAGGCCTGAGCTTTGGGAAGGCTCCCCATTCCTCCCCTGTGCCCCTATGCTCACAGCCTTTTGGCTCTCCTCCAGAGGCTCTTGAGGGCTCTTCCTGTCTCCCTCCAGGGCAGGGGCCTCTGCTGCAGAGGCTGGGGTGCAGAGGGCGAGGATTGTGGGCAGTCCTGGATGCAAGGGAAGTGGAGGAGGGTGCGGTGGGTATGCCTCAGGCCAGGGCACTTGGAACTGTGGGAGGGAGGGTGTGTCTTCGTGTCGCCTGCTGAGCATGGCCAGGGAGGGCCAGCCCACCACGGAGGTCCCGGTGACCTTGACTAGAGCCTGAGCCCAAGATGGGACCACTGAGGAGTGAGTGCAGGGACCAGCTCTGCTCTTGGGGAAACCCTGGAGGGGGCAGGCCTGGGTGCCTTGGGCCCACACCCAAGGCTGCATTGGATCAGGGAGCCTGCTCTGGGCTGGTGGTACCAGGGAAGGGGCATGTGTGGGGGTAGAGTGGTCTGCCAGTGGGGAAGGTGGGGTAAGGGGAGGGGCACGGTCAGCCGTCTGATGGGGGATTGTTGGGGGAGGGTGGCAGTACCTAAGCCAGAGTGGGACAGCCTGTAGCCCAGTGGGGACTGCTCACGCACAGGAGGGGCCTGTTCTGGGAGTCTGAGGGTTGGAATGTCATGATTCGGGATGGGTGGGTCCTGCTGGGGTCTGGAGGCAGAGGGCTGCTGTGTGTGCCCCTCTTGGTGCAGACAGATGCCCAGGACCCTGGTTTCAGAGCTCTGGGCTCTGATGTCCTTCCTGCCAGCTGTACCACTGTCTTTGTCACTCTTCTCTGCTACCTGGCTGCAGCACAGTAGTCAGCTCAGGTGCCCTCAGGTACAGGGGTCTGGCCAGGACAGTGCTGGCCTGTGGCAGGATTTCTTGCCCTATGCCTTGACCACATCTCCCCACTTCTTGCAGTCCGCTACTTCCTCGAGAGTGGGGTCAGCCCTGACCTGGCCAATGAGGACGGCCTGACAGCCCTGCACCAGGTCAGCGGTGCTCAGGGTGGAAGGGGAAGGGAGAGGCACTGGCCTGAGGCTCTGACACTCAGGCTGCTTGGTTTACAGAGCTGCATTGATGACTTCCGGGAGATGGTGCAGCAGCTCCTGGAGGCTGGGGCCAAGGTCAACGCCCGTGATAGCGAGTCCTGGACACCCTTGCATGCTGCGGCCACCTGTGGCCACCTGCATCTGGTGGAGCTGCTCATTGCCCGGTAGGGTGCACTGAGACTAGGTGTGGCTAGTGTGGGCATCTGTCAGCGAAGGGCTGCAGCTGGGCCAGGGGCAGGCAGGGCCTTCCTTGCAGGGGGCTGTTTGTCCTGAGATGCAGCCCAGATGTCTCTCCTGAGGGAAGTGTACCTGGACTCTTGTGTTCCCACTTACCTGGCTTGGAAAGCAGGGCCTGGGCAGAGGCCACAAACACTGTGACCCAAGGGAACGAGCATGTGCTCAGGGCAGTGTTATCTGCCCGCCAGGCTGCTCACCTGGGTACAGCCTTCTGCCAAGCACCATTAAGAGTTTGGGAACTCCTTGGTCTCTAGCTCTGGCCTCCCAGCCTCCCCAGGGTCTGCACAGAGAAATACCATTTTGGTTAAAGTGAGGCGAGAGGAATTGGCAAGGAGGGAGGAGGTACCTGGACCCAGGTGGGGACTTGAATGAGGAGGAGGGCAGAGCAGGGCAGGACTCCTGAACACTTGCCTTGGTGAATGGGGAGGGTGGTTGGATTCACCAGGATCCAGGATCCCCTGATGGCTCGACTCTGATCCCTCTAGAAGATGGTCAGGGGCTCAGGCTGTCCTTGGAGTGAGTGGTTCAGGCATTGATGGTGGGTGTACGGGTGATTGGGAGTGTCTCCCCTTCAGCACTCAGATGCCTTGGAGTGGGAGGGGGTGAGTGTGCAGCCTTCTGGGGCAGCAAGGCAGGTGTGCACAGGCGGCCCCTAGCCACACTCCACTCCTCCCCACGGCGGGCACCCACCCTTGTATTCTGGGCTCCCGTTCAGCTTCCTGCCTTCCCCTTGGGTGATACTCCCGCTTGAGCCCTGTTCCCTGCAGCTCTGTGGGGCTCTCCTGGCACCCAGACTCTCCTCCTCCCACCGCCTTCTGCTCCCTGGGGCCCCCCGAGTCCTGGCACCCACTCCTGGCAGGTGGGCCCACTGTGCATGTTCTTGGGGCAGATCGGTGCCAGGAACCTGGAGTTCGGACATGCGTGGTGACTGCGGGACAGCCTACCTGGTTTGAGGCTAGGAACCAGGGCAGGCTGAGGGGCAGCCTCTTCCAGCAGCAGCTTGGGCCTGAACCTCCTCCACATCAGCCCTAGGCTGAGTGCCTCCCCAGAGGGTGGACCTCTGTGAGGGGCCTGGGGGCCTCTCTTGGGAGAGAAGGGTCCTGTGGTCAGCACTTCTGTCCATGTTTCCCGCAGTGGGGCTGATCTTTTGGCGGTCAACACAGATGGGAACATGCCCTATGACCTGTGTGAGGATGAACAGACACTGGACTGCCTGGAGACGGCCATGGCCAACCGAGGTGAGTGCGACCCCACCTCCCCACTAGGTGGTGCCAGGGGTGCTAGCTCTGAGCCTACTGCCCCGCAGGCATCACCCAGGACAGCATCGAGGGGGCCCGGGCCTTGCCGGAGCTGCACATGCTGGACGACATCCGGAGCCTCCTGCAGGCAGGGGCCGACCTCGACGCCCCTCTGGACCACGGGGCCACGCTGGTGAGGATGTGGCCCACGGGAGGCAGGCAGGGGAGGTTGCTGCTGGAGGGGCACACTCAGGGCTCGGTGATTTGCCTGCAGCTACACATTGCCGCTGCCAACGGGTTCAGTGAGGCGGCGGCCCTGCTGCTGGAACACCGGGCCAGCCTGAGCGCCAAGGACCACGACGGCTGGGAGCCGCTGCACGCTGCAGCCTACTGGGGCCAGGTGCGCGTGGGGTGGGGGCTGCCAGGGCGAGGGCGGTCAGGCTCCGTGGGCGGCTCCGGAGCCTTCAGCAGCCCGGGCTCGCTGGCCCACAGGTGCACCTGGTGGAGCTGCTCGTGGCACACGGGGCCGACCTGAACGGGAAGTCCCTGATGGATGAGACTCCGCTTGGTGAGCTGGGGACCACCTCCTCCCGGTGTAGGGGACTGGCGGTGGGCGCCCATGACCCTCGCCCACCTCTCCTCAGACGTGTGCGGGGACGAGGAGGTGCGGGCCAAGCTGTTGGAGCTGAAACACAAGCACGACGCGCTCCTGCGCTCCCAGGGCCGCCAGCGCTCTCTGTTGCACCGCCGCACCTCGAGCGCGGGCAGCCGGGGGTGAGCACCCCTGCCTCAGCCCGGGCCGGTCCAGGCCCACAAGGCCTCGTTCCCCGCCCCCGCCACCCCTGCCGGCACAGGCCCCACCCCACCGGCTCTGCCCAGGGCTTTCCCCCGCTGATGTCAGCCGGTAGGCCGCGGTGCCAGCTGGAGCTGGGGGCAGAGTCCCCGGGGTGGGCGGCGTCCTCCTCCCACCCTCACCCTGCCCTCCCCCAGGAAGGTGGTGCGGCGGGTGAGCCTGACCCAGCGCACCAGCCTGTACCGCAAGGAACACGCCCAGGAGGCCATCGTGTGGCAACAGCCTCCGCCCGCCAGCCCGGAGCCGCCGGAGGAGGATGAGGACGGTCTCACTGACGTGGAGCTTGGGCCACCGCCCCCGCAGGTGAGCCCCGCCCAGCCCAGCCTGGGCGGTCCGGCTCCGCCCTCCCTGCTGGAGCCGGCGGCGACCACACATCGGTGCGTCGGTTCTTGCCCTGCGCTCTTCCCAGGAGCTGGTGGGACCGTCTAGTGCCCCATAAGCTACTGCCCCGACGCGACGCTTGTGTCTGTCCTTCGACTACCATGCAGCCCCGGGCCCAAGACCAGGGGAGGCCAGAGAAGGCCTCCTGACGGCCTCTGGGCCTGCGTTCACCCACAGGAGGAGGATCCTGAGGTGGCCAGGCCGCACAACGGCCGAGTCGGGGCCCCCTCGGGGCGGCACCTGTATTCCAAGCGGCTGGACCGGAGTGTCTCCTACCAGCTGAGCGCCCTGGAGAGCACCGCCCACGACGCTCTGGTCCAGGCCAAGGCTCACCACACCCTGGCAGAGCTCAAGCGCCAGCGAGCAGCCGCTAAGCTGCAGCGTTCCCCTCCCGAGGGGCCTGAGGCGCCTGAGTCCGGCCTGCCTGCGGACCCTGAGAACCCGCAGTCCGAGTGTGGCTCCAGCGCTGGCGAAGACCCACCCCTGCTCAAGCTCACAGCCCCCTCCGAGGAGGCCCCCGTGGAGAAGAGGCCGTGCTGCTTGCTTATGTGAGGGCTGGAGCTCAGGGCGGCAAGGGTCCTGCGGCCAGGCCCATCCCAAGGCTGCCTAGAGCCCCTGCTCTGGACACCCCACTGTGTGTCCTGGTGCTGCTGTGGGCGGGCAGCCAGTGTGGGACCTCCTAGGCTTCCCCCATCCAGGACATCAGCCTCCTCGTTCAGGGGTGGACCCTCGAGAAGCCATACCTTGGGGGCACATGGCTGCAGAGACCTGGTTTAATCCTGTGACTCTTGATAAAGAGCCGTTCTGCCATCTGCCTTGTTGTGTGTCTCAGCTGGGCCACCGTCCCCACGGTGGGGAGCTGCTGTGCTGCTGGGCCTGGGTGCACCAGTCCTTGTCTAAGGCCTGTAGGTACGGGCCGGGCTTGCTTCTGGCGGCCTGGCTCCTGCATGGGAGTGAGGCCCACAGCCACTGGGCAAGAAGCCTGGCCCTTCCTGCACCCTGCGTCCTTGCCTGCCAGCCTCCTGGAGGCTCCTCTGTAACTCTTTGCTTTCCTGAGGGGAGCAGAGAGCTCTGGAAGGGCACTCCTTGGGGGCCAGGTGTTCATGCTGAGGGGCAGGAATCCTGGCTTAGAAAGGGAGGGGGTGTTTTCCATGAGACTCTTGGGCCAGAACCAGAGGAGCCAAGCAGCACAAGGCTAGCATCAGAAAACTCCCTGGGGGGGCAGGTCCCCCGTTCCTGGCATGCAGCCTCAATCCTGGGGCCTGGCTGCCAGCTTCCGCTTGGGCTGGCAAAGGGGGCCAGCAGTTGGCCTCTCAGGCTCTGAGCTGGCTGGGCACGATATGTCAGGGTGACAGGGGCCCCTTAGGGGCCTCGCGTGGGAGGGCTGAGGGCACTGCCAGCTCATCTGTCCGTGGCAGGCAGTTTTGTATGGCCACCAGCAGTGGGTGTCATGGGCTCTGGTCACCTTCTCCCTGACGGACACTGACCCAGTCGCCCAGTGCCTGCAGGGCCCACCCTTCCCTGAGCATCAGTCATTGGGAGTGTGTCCTCAGCAGGCTGGGGGAGGGCTCGGGGTAGGCTGCTGGTTAAATTTAGTGTGGAACAGTGCAGCTGCCCAACGTCCACCTGCCACCACAGCTGCCACTTGGGCCCTACTGCCATGGGGGGTGTGGGGGCTGGCTCCATGTGGGGCTTGGTGCATATTAACCTGTGCTCCAGCCTGGGGGCCAGAGGAGCAGGCCTGCAGCTGGGAGGCCGAGGTGGCAGCGGAGCCGAGAGGTGCAAGGTGAGAGACAGGCCGGCTTCCTGGGGCTCCTGTTATTTCCTCTCTAGCCGGCAGGAGCCAAGGCTCCTCTCACGCCTGACCAGCTACCCTGCCCGACCAGCTACCCTCCCACAGTCCAGCTCAGAGTCAGATGCTGGTGTCTGGGGGTAGCCACCCCTGGGCGAGGCCTATCAGCTCCCTGCAGGCCTGTAGAGGTGGGGCCCAAGGGCCTATCTAGGGTAGCGTCCCCCTTTCTCCACCAATCAGGTGCAACAGGGAGGGGGAGCTTAGGTCACCTGGCCTGTGGTGTGCCCCAAGGTCAGCCTCAGGCTGGCATGTGGTGAAAGGGCACAGCAGCAGCCTAGAGCCGCAGAGGTGTCCAAGGGCCCTTCAAGGGCCAGAGCTGCCGTGCTCCCTCCCCCAACACCCCAACCCAGAGACTCCAGCCTTGCAGCACTGATTGGGGACCAAGGTCCAATCACAGGGCTCTTGCAGCCTCCAGGTCATGGCACCAGCCCAGGAGGGGCTAGATGGAACCCTGTGTCTGAGCACCTCGCTCCCCTTCCCCGCTACCCCAGGACTCCCAAGACCTGACACAGTTACCTGGGAGACAGGCCTGCTGGCCCAAGCAAAGATGGGGGGTCTGAGGGGGCTAGGCCTTGGCTGGGCCCTGCTGGGGTAAATCTCTAGAGGCCCCAGGCTCCATTTTCCCCTTGGGGTTCAGTGCTGCCCAGCTCTCCCAGCCCCTCAGGGCCCCTTGGCCCAGGTGCTCAACCTATCTCCCCTCCCCCAGGCCCAGTCCCTCACAGCTTCGTGGACCTTCCGTCTGTCCCTACCCCCCATGTGGGTCTCCTGCTCCCCTGTCATGGGGACACTGGGCGGGTGCTGGGCCTTGCCCCAAGCCCCGCCTGCCTCCTCACCCACTCCCTATGGCTCCCTGGGGCAGAACTGTGCCCAGACACGTGGGGCGGGGCCGGGCGGCCCCAGCTCCTCCTTCAGTTTTTCTGTCCCTTTCAGTGGGGCCAGCAGGCTGCAGTGAAGACCAGGCCCTCTTACCTTGAGTCCCCCACCCAGGCCCCCCCTTCCCAGCCTGGCCCACCGGGCCTGGACCCAGCTTCCCTCATCCCCTCTTCTGGATCCTGCTGCCTCCTGAGCCTCCTTCCTGCCCGGTCTTGAGCAGGGTCATGGCCTTGAGGGCAAGTGACCACAGCCAGGCTGCCATGAACAGGCTGAAGGAGAAGGTGCTGACGCTGGACACTATGAACCCGTGTGTTCGGAGGGTGGAGTATGCAGTGCGAGGCCCCATTGTGCTGCGTGCCCTGGAGCTGGAGCAGGAGCTGCGACAGGTATGGCCCTGGGCCCCACCATGCCCTCCAGGCTGCACCTGCGCAGCCGAGTAGGCCCCATTCCCAGTGTCACACTGGAAAACGGCCTACAGGAGTGGTAAGGCCCATTCTCACTGTCAGTACCCCCTCTCTCCCAGGGCATAAAGAAGCCCTTCACTGAGGTCATCCGTGCCAACATCGGGGATGCACAGGCCATGGGGCAGAAGCCCATCACCTTCCTGCGCCAGGTGAGGCTTGGCACTGCCTTAGTGCCCTTCCCCCATCAGCCCATGTGTCCTGGCCTCAGCATTTGCTTCTCCCAGGTCCTGGCCCTCTGCATCCACCCTGATCTCCTGAACAGCCCCAACTTCCCTGAGGATGCCAAGAGAAGGGCGGAGCACATCTTGCAGGCGTGTGGGGGCCACAGCCTGGGTAAGTGCCAGTGCCAGAACCAGTTCAAGCCCCAGGGAGGAGCAGGAGCTGGAGGGAGGCTGTCCCAGAGGAGGGGTGGACTCGCAAGCTGGAAGAGGAACTCACCTGTCCTCCCACCCCCACCCCCTCCTGCGCCACCCCCTGGCCCAGGGGCCTACAGCGTCAGCTCCGGCATTCAGCTGATCCGGGAGGATGTGGCACGGTACATCCAGCAGCGCGACGGAGGCATTCCCGCGGACCCCAACAACATCTTCCTGTCCACGGGGGCCAGCGACGCCATCGTGGTAGGCCGGGGCAGGAGGACACCATGGCTCTTTGAGCATGGCTGGGTCGGTCCAGCTTGTCTTGTTACGGCGGCGCCCGCCCAAGGCGGGGGATGGGTGTAGCCCCTCGCCCTGCCAACCCTACCTCCCAATCCTGCCCACAGACGGTACTGAAGTTGCTGGTGGCTGGCGAAGGTCATACACGCACGGGCGTGCTCATCCCCATCCCTCAGTACCCGCTGTACTCGGCCACCCTGGCAGAGCTCAACGCTGTGCAGGTGGACTACTATCTGGATGAGGAGCGCGCCTGGGCGCTCGACGTGGCGGAGCTGCGGCGCGCGCTATGCCAGGCGCGTGACCACTGCCACCCGCGCGCACTCTGCGTTATCAACCCCGGCAACCCCACTGGTGCGCCGCGCGCCCCCTGGCCCCAGCCCCGGCCCCGCCCCCGCCCCGCCCCGCCTCGCCCCCTCCCGCCGCGCCGGGGTCAGCTTGGCCCGCCCCGCCCCGCCCCGTGGAGAGCAGGGCGCGCTGTCGGCTGACTCCGGACGTGCTGCATCCCCCGTGCCCCAGGGCAGGTGCAGCCCCGCGAGTGCATCGAGGCCGTGATCCGCTTCGCCTTCGAAGAGCAGCTCTTCCTGATGGCTGATGAGGTGCTGGCAGGGGTGCGCGTGGGCTGGGGGGAGGAGGGCAGCAGCGAGTGCCCTCGTGACGCCTGGCCACCCGTCCAGGTGTACCAGGACAACGTGTACGCTGAGGGCTCGCAGTTCCACTCGTTCAAGAAGGTGCTCATGGAGATGGGGCCGCCGTACGCGGCGCAGCAGGAGCTCGCCTCCTTCCACTCGGTCTCCAAGGGCTACATGGGCGAGTGCGTGCAGGCCGGGCGGGGGCTCGTGGACCTCGGCCGCTGCCTGGCTCGCTTCGCCCGCTAGGCTTGCCCCCTCTTCCCGGCCGTGCCTCGACGTCCGCCCTCCCTTCGTAGGTGCGGGTTCCGCGCCGGCTACGTGGAGGTGGTGAACATGGACGCCGCCGTGCAGCAGCAGATGCAGAAACTGATGAGCGTGCGGCTGTGCCCGCCCGTGCCAGGCCAGGCCCTGCTTCACGTGGTGGTCAGCCCGCCCGCGCCCTCCGACCCCTCCTTCGCACAGTTCCAGGCGGTGAGCTGCAAGGGCTGAGGGGTTGGGGCGACAAAGTGGGCGAGTGGGGGCCAGGGAAGCACCGCTCCCCTGGCCAGCCCTAATCGTCCCTCCCTCCGTGGCCACAGGAGAGGCAGGCGGTGCTGGCCGAGCTGGCGGCCAAGGCCAAGCTGACAGAGCAGGTCTTCAACGAGGCTCCCGGCATCCACTGCAACCCGGTGCAGGGCGCCATGTACTCGTTCCCGCGAGTGCAGCTGCCCCCGCGCGCTGTTCTGCGCGCTCAGGTCCGGCGTGGGCGGGCAGGGGGCGGGGCCCGCGGGGGTGGAGTCTGGGGAGCCCCGCCCTGACCTACGAGCCACGCTCTCACTGCCCCCAGGAGCTGGGCCTGGCTCCTGACATGTTCTTCTGCATGTGCCTTCTGGAGGAGACCGGCATCTGCGTGGTGCCTGGGAGCGGCTTCGGGCAGCGGGAAGGCACCTACCACTTCCGGTGAGGCCTGGCCTGCGCAGGGTCTCCTCGCGGGCCTCGTTCCCTTCACTTACCTTGCTCCTCCTTTTAGGATGACCATTCTGCCCCCCGTGGAGAAGCTGCGGTCCCTGCTGGAGAAGCTAAGCCAGTTCCATGCCAAGTTCACTCGCCAGTACTCCTGAGGCCCCCCTCTGGGGCCCAGGCCCGGCCAGGCTGGTGTGGCAGGGCCAACCCTAGACTGACCATGCCCAGGGCCCTGGGTGTCTCACTCCTGCAGCCTGTGGGGCTGGGCCCCTGCCTCTCTGTAGGCCCCTAATAAAGCTATGAGACAGCCTAACTGCTTGGAGGATGTGTGCACACCTGTATGTGCCTCCCCCACCTTTATCCACTGCTGACTGCCTTTCTGTACCAGGTTCTGTGCAGGCCTGGGGACCCAGCCCTGAGTGGGATGCTCGTCTGCCTTTAGGAGGTGTGGTCAAGGAGGACTTCCAGAGGCGGTGACCTTCTTATAGATGCAGAGCCTCTGGTGTGCTGGGTCTCTATCGTAGTCCCTGGTCTTGGGGCAGAGACTGAAAACATTCGCAGAAGAATTAGGAATAGTGAGACAAGTGTGAAGGAAGGCACCGGGCCACCTGCACATCCTCAGGGGCGACCCCAGAGTTGTTAGGGGTGGGGATGGGGCTGGACAAAGAGACACAGGAGCAAGGTCCCAGGGTGGCCATGTCAGAAAAAGTTCCTTTTCCTGAGGAAGACACAGAAAGGTGTGTCCGCTGTCCTGGCTCCCCTACCTGTACTGTCCACCTCTTTGTTGGTGGTACAGGGAACGTGTTAGCTGGAGGATGGAGTTGGCTGGATGGGGTGAGCAGTGGATGTGGAGTCACAGTGGGGGCTCAAGGAGCAAGTCTTGGTTTTCCTCTTAATTGGGCAGATGGCGGTGGTGCTGCCACCTGAGGCTGCTGGAGGAGCAGCCGTGCCGAGAGGGGAGGGGAGGAAGAACAAATGGGTTTTGCTTTGCCCATGTTGTGTTTGAAGTGTGTGACACCCTAGTGCAAATGTTGGCCTTGGGCTGGGAGGCCCTCTCCAGCTGGGGCACCCGAGGGCAGGTGCCAGAGAAGAGGGCAGATAAGATGCTGAGGAAGAGGTGCCTGGGGAGAGCTGGAGGACCCAGACTGGGGACGGGTGGGCAGCCCTGTGTCCTTGCCATGGGAACACAGGGATGAGTGCCTACTGTGTGCATGCCAGACACTGGTGGGTTGATGCCCCAGTGGTTCCTCTGAGATAGGCATGGTAGTCCTCATTTGTAGACGAGTAAACTTAGGCCCTCCAAATATGTAGGAGTGACAGGAAGCCCACTCAAACGGGCCTCAGCAGCCGAGGGAGTGTGTTGGCTCAAGTGCCTGCTGGTTAGTCTAGGGCTTGGGCCAGCTGCAGGACCCAGGGGCTTGGAGACAGTACTGGTCAAGGCTCCAGCTCTGTCGGCTCCAGAAGTGCTTCTTAGGCACGGGCTATGCTTCACTAGCTCCTTTGGGCCTCAGGGGCCCATGGAGTGCAGCTCTAGGCAGGAGGAGAACCGGCATGAGAGCCCACATTGCCTTGTACTTCCCCTTGGATAGGCCCCCGGTAGGGCCAGCTGGAGTCCTGCAGTGCTTGGCCTCATGGTCATGCTCTCCTGGTCTTGTCACTGGACACCAGAAGGCACCACAGGCAGCAGATGCCTGAATTCTGGCCAAGCCTGGGCCCTGACCTTTCACACAAACCTTCTGCCTTCCATGGCCCTCTGTGGCCACTGGCTTGGGGGGGGGGGGGTGCGCTGAAACCACAAGCACAGTCAGGTGAGGGGTCCAGTGCAGAAGGCTGCAGTAGTGGACAGTGGAACCTCAAGAGGCCAGCTCCTCCCTGGGGAATGCTGGAGGGACCAGGTGGATGCTGAAGCAACAAGCCTCCAGGTGAGACACCGGGAAGCACTTCTGAAGAGTTAGGGTCTGAATCCAGGGGGTCTGGGGGCCGGAGCTGATGACCCTCGGAGGGAGCACGATGGGCCGCCGGTTGCGAAGGACTCCTGTTGGGGACCGCGCTGGCCGGCCGCACCCAGGTTGGCCACTGGGGGCGCCCGCGGCCGGATGGCCGGCGCTCTGGCCCGCTCGGACGCTCTATGGCCGCCGCGCCTCCTAGCCGCGCGCCCGCACTGAGCGGAGGCGGGGGGCGGTTCTCCGCTACCCGGACCGACACCCCGGAACTAGGGCGCGAGTGCGGACGCCGCTCCACCCAGCCCAGGCCAAAAGCTATGCCGCCGTGTGACCCCTGATGCCATCCTGACCGGACCAACCCGCGCCCCCCCCCCCCCCCCCCCCCCCCCCCCCCCCCCCCCCCCCCCGCTTCCTCCCCCGGCCTGGCCCGCGGGCCTCGGCCCTGGCCCTGGGCTCGCGCTCCGGCCATGCGTGGGAAGCTGCTGCCGCTGGCCGGCCTCTACCTGGTGCAGGGCCTGCCCTACGGGCTGCAGTCCGGCCTGCTGCCCGTGCTGCTGCGGGCCCGCGGCCTCTCCCTGACACACGTGGGGCTAGCCAAGGTGCTGTACGCGCCCTGGTTGTTCAAGCTCGTGTGGGCCCCACTGGTGGACACGCGGGGCTCCCCGAGGGCCTGGCTGACGCTCAGCACGGCAGCTCTGGGCCTGGTGTGTGGGCTGCTGGCAGCGCTGCCTCCTGCTGAAGCTGGCCAGGCCGGGCTGCCCGTCACCGTGGCAGGGCTGCTTCTGTTGCTGAACCTGGGTGCGGCTGTGCAGGATGTGGCCCTGGACACGCTAGCCGTGCAGCTCCTGGAGCCGGCTGAACTGGGGCCTGGCAACACCGTGCAGGTGGTCGCTTACAAGCTGGGGGCGGTACTGGCCGGGGGCGGGCTGCTGGCCTTTGTGCCCACCCTCTCTTGGTCTCTGCTCTTTCTGCTCCTGACTGCCACCTATTGGCTGGCCGCTGCCCTGGCCTGGGGTGCCCGGGCCCTGCAGCCACTGCCTCCACCTCAGGCCTCAGAACCTCCCCCACACACCCTGCACCTTCTGCAGGACTTGCTGGCTGTGCCTGGGACCTTGTGGACAGCGGGCTTTGTGCTCACATACAAGCTGGGTGAGTGAGGCCTTGAGTCAGGCAACTGCAGGGGTGGGAGCCTGGGGGAACTCCAGGTAGGTCCCCAGGAGCTCTGAAACCCACTTGTGGGGCTGCCCTCTTTCCGGGGTGTGACCTGCAGGCTGGAGCCCAACCTGGCTTTGCAGTTGGGCCTCGCCTCTGATCCTTTTCCAGCTCCAACTCCACGGCCACTCTGAGCTCTAGCCACAACCCTTGGGTTCTTTCTGAAGCTGCTTCATGCTGACCCTGAGCTTGGCCAATGCCCAATCCCAGCTGTCTCCCTGCACCTATGGCCCAGCACAGAGGCAGGGCAGTGGCCCAGCTGAGGCAGCATGACAGGCCCCAGGTGGGGAAGGGAGGCGGGCCGCCCCTGCTCACATTCTCCCTACAGGTGAGCAGGGAGCTGGCAGTCTGTTTCCACTCCTTTTGCTGGACCGTGGTGTCTCCACCCCGGAGCTGGGGCTGTGGAACAGTGTAGGTGCTGTGGCCTGCTCCATTGCTGGCTCATCCCTGGGCGGGGCGCTGCTGGCCAGGCACCGGTGAGCCTTCCCCAGCCTGCCTTGCCCACCTGCTCACTCCTTAACCTGCTCCGTGCCCCTTGACCTGCCTAATCTCCCCACCCCAGGCAGCCACTGCCCCTGCTGAAGTCAGTGCTTCGGTTCCGTCTTGGAGGCCTGGCCTGCCAGACCGTCCTGCTCTTCCACCTGGACACCCCAGGGGCTAGGCTGGGTCCCAGCACAGTCCTGAGAGGTGAGGGGCTGGCCATGGGGGGGAGGAACCTGGAGCCCTGGGCCCTGCTGACCTTTGCCCTCCCAGGGGCAGCCTTGCTGAGCCTGTGTCTGCAGCACTTCCTGGGGGGCCTGGTCACAACTGCCACCTTCACCCTGATGATGAGCTGCAGCCAGCTGGCACCTGGTGCCCTGCAGGTGAGGGGCTGTGGCTGTGACAGAGGGGCTGCAGGGCTGGGGTCGTCGGGTCCTGACCTCATCCCCCCACCCCCAGGCCACACACTACAGCCTCCTAGCCACTCTGGAGCTGCTGGGGAAGCTGTTGCTGGGCACGATGGCCGGAGCCCTGGCTGATGGCCTGGGGCTGCATCTCTGCTTCTCCCTCCTTCTTGCTCTCTCGGCCATGCCCATTGTGTACCTGGGTCTGGCACCCAGCACCGTGGCCTGAGCGGGGCTGCTGGACTGGTCAATAAAGCTGTGTGTGCCCGGGGCCTGGCTGTGTCTGTGTTCGGGATGTATGACGTACAAAGCTGTCTTCAGCCTGTGGGGACCATGCCACCAGAAAAGGAGGATCCCTAGAAATGACTTGAACATCTTTTATTCTGCCTTTTAGGGTCCCCTTGCCCCCACACTCCTGGCAGTGGGCTTTATCTGGGGTGGTCAGTCACCGACCTGACCACTGATGTCGTCTTGCCTTTCCCTTGATAAGCTGCCGCACCAGAACCTTCCACCCAGTGGTCATACAGTTCAGCTCATGCCTGCATCTGTGATGTGGGGGGACCAGGGCCCTCCCTCTGCAGGGCAGTCAGCGGCCCCACAGCAGGATCTCCTCTGTGGCCAGGTGCGCCAAGGCATGGAAGCTCAGGTGCAGGTACTTTCTCCAGAAGCGCCGGTCCCGCCCATATACCTGGGCAGGATAGCAAGGGCTTCCTGCGGTGGAACAGGAGACACGGCTCTGAGGACTTGGCAGGTCCGACCCCAGTGCTCCCTGTGTCTTAGCCAAACCTCCCAGGCCCTCACCGATGCCGTGGAAGATGCGGGCCACAGCCCTGCCTGAGAACTGCTGCTCTGGCCACGAGGAGAGGAGGTGGCGGATATCCCGGCGGGTCTGGTCCTCCCAGTCCTGGAGCTGGGGGTGGGGGCATATCCCAGCTTGCATGGCACTGTGTTGCACATGGCCTGCCACGGTGCAAGGCAGGAGGGCAGTGTGCACATGCGCCTCTGCGGTCCCATGGGAAGGGCCAGCACTCACCCTGGCCAGCCCCGGCTCTGGCCCCTGCTCGGCCTCCGTGCCTCGTGGCCCTTCTCCTCCCTCTTCCTCAAAGTAGTGGCTGAGCACGGCCTTGAGCCTGGCACTGCGCTCCTCATCTGGCTGCTCCAGGCACGGCCCACAGCTGGGGAAGGCTACACTGCAGTGGGAGAGGCCCATCAGAGCTGCCTGCCTTGGGGAGGGTGTGGTGCCCAGGCCCTGCTCACCCTCTCCCGCACCTGTGAAAGGCTCGGAATGTGTGGTGCAGACAGGCCAGGGCCTCCCGCTCTCGGTCCTGCACGCGGCTATAGAGGAAGTCACAGATCTGGTCCTTCTCCTGGGCTGTCAGATCCCCGGGGCTGTGCAGGTGGAAGGCCAGCTCCCTGAACTCCACCAGCACCCCCGTGCCCCGAGGTGCACCTGCCAGAGAGTGTGTCAGACTGGCCTGTGGGCAGACAGGTGGCAAGCAGGGCTGGGGGCAAGGCACACCTGTCTTAGGCTCTGGGTCCCACTGCAGCTGGTGGAGAGCCCGTCGCACAGGGACCAGCTCCCAGCCCATTGAGTCTGCCAGCTGGACCACATCAAACTCCACAGAGCTGCTTCCCTGACCTGTGTTCTCAGGGGGCTGCTGGGCCAAGCACACAGCCAGCGGGGGACACCTGGGCCAGGGGAAAGGATGTGTGATTGGCAAGCCTAGTTCTCCGTTCCTGCCCCCAGCCCGGGTGGGAGGTGTGCTCACCTGTGGGTCAAGGCTTGGAGCTGGGTGGGGCCCCCAGGGCAGCGCAGGTGGCAATGGGCATAGGTAGGTGCCAGCAACTCTAGCCAGTGCTGCGGGTGCAGCTCCAGGTAGCACAGCAAGGTCTCGATGGCTGGGGGGCAGAGCAAGGCTCAGAGAACGTGGGGACATGGGGATGCCCCTCATCCTGCCCCCAGTTCCTCACCCTCCTCTGGCATGTCCAGGGCCTGCACTGTCGGCTGCACTGGGAGTGCCCGCTTGTGGCCTGGGCACCGGGCTGTGTGCTCACTGCTGGGTTGCTCAGCCTCCCGTGGGCACATGGTCACAGGGGCCCTGGCCAAGCCCCTTTCCTGGCTGTGGTCTCCCTCCTCTTCCGGGGACCGCTGGGTGTGGGAGCAGGTGCAGGGTGGGAATGCACGCTGCACCAGCTTCTTCACGGCACAGAAATCAGTGGTCTTGGCGTGCACGTGTCTGCGCAGCTCCCGCAGGTCCTCACCCTGTGGAACGGCCATGAACATGGGCTGTGGCACCAACTGGGGTGGGGGGACGGTGAGTAGAGTGGGTACCAACCTGGGCCTGCAGAAAGAGGTGGCAGTGTGCAGGCTGCCCGTCGCGGCCCGCCCGGCCCACAGCCTGCACGTAGCTCTCGAAGCTTGGGGGCAGCCCTAGATGCAGCACGGCCCGCACATCTGGCCGGTCCAGCCCCATCCCAAAGGCCACCGTGGCCACCACCACCCGCAGCTGGCCCTCCATGAAGGCCCGCTGCACGCGCCGCCGCTCCCGGCTGCACATGCCAGCGTGGTAGGCTTCAGCCACGGCCTCTGGGGCTCGGCCTGCGGGGCAGACGCATAGTCAGTTGGGTGGGGCACATGCCTTGGGTGGGTCTGTGGGGTGTGGTCCTGCCCCTGCCTCACCTCCGGGCCCTGGGGCCCAGGCCTCACGCAGGCAGGTGCGGAGCAGCGCAGCAACTCGCTCGGTGTCCTCTCGCCTGTTACAGTAGACGATGACAGAGTCCAGGGCACGAAAACGCTCACTCTGCAGCAGTGTCACCAAAGCCTGGGGGGACAGTGGTCAGTGTGGGCACCCAGGAGGCGGGGCCTCTGCTGGGCCCATGTGTGCACACCTACCTGGTCTGGGTCCCTGTCCATGGACACAGAGAGGTGCAGGTTGGCAGGGATGGTGACTGGTCCCCTGAGGACAGCCTCCTCAGCCACGCCCAGGTGCCAAGCCACATCGCGGGCAGTGCTGCGGGTGGCTGTGGCCGTGAGACCCAGGAAACAGTGCACGCCCATGCGTTCCCGCAGCACCTGTGCAGGAGTAGGGGGCAGTAAGGATGCTCAACGCACCCTCCCTGGCATGCTCACCCGTAACCTGGGCAAGGCTCACCTTGCAGACTCGCAGGTAACAGGGTCGGAAGTTGTGGGACCACTGAGAGAGGCAGTGGGCCTCGTCGATGCAGGCAAAGGCAACCGGGGGCAGCTGAGTGAGGCAGGCAGGGCCCCCTTCCCCAGCTCCAGCCAGCGCCTCAGGCGACAACATCAGCACATGTACCTGGGCTGCCCGGACCTGAGGACAGCAAGGTCAGGAACACCACCCAAGTGCTGCCTGCTGCCCCCACCTGTCTGGGCCTGTGAGGCCCCTCACCTTCCGCAGGGCAGTGTCCCGCTGCTTCCTGGTCATGCCTGAGTGAATGCAGGTCGCCTTCAGGCCTGGGGGCAAGCCAGACACCTGCAGGTACAGGAGCATAGTGTGCCACAGGCCTCCCAACCCTGACCCTTCCCCAAATGCCTCTCAGGGTTGCTGTGCCCAACAGCTACCACCATCTCCACCCCACGCCCTGTAGGGAGAATACTCAGATCCTGGGTCCTAGGACCAAGGGTTCAGAGCCACCTGTGGGCCTTGGCTCAGGAGCACCAGGAACAAACAGACCACTGTGGGGATGACCCCGTTCTCAGCACTACTCCTCTTGGGGGTGGGCCTGGATCTGGCTAGCCACATCCCTATTGCCGTCGGGCTACTGCCAGGCCTGGGACTGTGGATAGGGCTGGTAGGCTTCTTGCAGTTCCCAGGTGGGGATGGGGCAAGAAGCAGCAGCCCAAGGGGGTCAGAGGAGCTGTGGGCATCAGTTCCTGCCTTCTGCACAGGGCAGAGGGCCCTGTCCGCCCACCTGGTCGTCCATGAGTGACAGGAGGGGAGAGATGACCAGCGTGAGGCAGGGGCTTCGCCGGGCATAGAGCAGTGCAGGGAGCTGGTAGCACAGGGACTTGCCGGCGCCTGTGGGCAGCACCAGCAGTGTAGACATGCCTGTGTGGGACCCAGGGTCAGTAGTGCCACTCTGTAGCCTGGCCTTAGCCCCTCCTCACTGCCTGGCAGCCATGCTCACCAGACAGGATCCGCATGACTGCCTGCTCCTGCCCGGGACGGAAGGCTTGGTACCCCAGCTGCTCTAGGGCCTGGAACACCTCAGCCGGTGTCTCTGTGGACACAGGTCTCAGTCAGAACGGACCCAAGTCACCCTTATCCCTTACTAAAGGCTCTGGGCTGGCCTACTCACCTGCCACCTGCCCAGAGGGCTCCCGCAGATAGAGTGGTGGCATGGTGGGGGGTGGGGAAGGGGCCCTGGGCACAGGCTGCTGCGTGGGTGCCAGCAGCTCAGGCCCAGCAGGCTCTGTATCTTCCTTACCTGCTGGGGGCAGACAGGAGAGAGTGGTGTTGGAGCTCCTGGCTGGGCAGGGGTCATTCTAGGAAGAAGCCACTGACCACAACTTCTCCTGCAGGCCCTCACTCACCAGGGAGTTGGCAGTAGGCAGTGCCGGGCTGCTGGGCTACTTCCTCCAATGTGGGGAGGGTCTGTGTGTCCCCCTCGTCCTCACCACCTTCCTTCTGGGAAGCCAGGGTGGGTTCTGGGCCGGGGTGGGGAGGTGGTAGGGCCTTTTGCTGGAGCCAGAAGTCCCGCCCTTCCAATGAACATAACACCCCCTTCAAGCAGTGTTGGCCCAACCCACCACCCAGGGCAGAGGCCTCACCTGGGTGGGTGCACTGGGATGCCCAGTGGCCAAGCTGCCCACACCAAAAGCAAGAATCCTTGACTGTGGCTCTGAGTTTACCACCCCCAAAACGCTCTCCTTTCTTCTGCCACTTCTGCTTCCACACCTGGGGGGCGTCCACAAAAGAAGGTCACAAGATGAGAGGCAGGAGGGGTGAGGGGAGTGTCTGCTGCCATCTCACCTGCTTACGGAGGAGCCTGCCACGCAGGGCTGGGCCCCGTGCATAGCGTTTCTGCTTCAGGTTGAGCCGCACATAATTACCCCTGTCCTGGATGGCTGGCCTAGAAAGAACACACAAATGGGCCATGCCTGAAGCCCTCCCACCTGGCTGGACTCAAGGTACCCTGCTGGGAGGATGAAGCCATGGTACCTGGGGGCCGCTGGGATGCTGGGCAGCTGTGCCTGCACGGGCTCCCCTAGACAGCCTTCTGCATGTGCTGTAGCCCCAGCTCCTTCTGGTGGGAGTTCTGGTTGGCTGCTGTCCTGCTGGGCCTGTGCAGGGCTTCCCCCTGGCTCCTCACTCCGCCTCCGCTTCTTGCCTCGAGTGTTGCTAGGCTGGGGGCTCCCTGCACTGACTCTGACTGCCTGTAGGGTTGGAGCCTCTGGGGCTGGTAAAGGTGCCTCAGGGCCAGTGCTGGGACCAACGGATGGGACACTTAAAGTCAGAGGCTGTGACAAGTCTGTATCCAGGCCAGGGTGGCAGGCCTCGGGAGCCCCCTGAAAGTCTGGGGCCTCATTGTGACACCTCTGCAGCCAGCCAGGGTCTAGGGAGTTCAGCCGCAGGCTCAGGGAGGCCCGTAGCTGCTGGAGCCGGCCTGGCCTCAGCTGGGGCTTGAGAGCCTGTGGGGGCACCTCACTGACTTCCTCTGGAGCGATGAGGGCAGCCCCCGCAGCAGGCAGTCCTGAGGAGAGCATCTTGGATGAGGGTCTTCGTGGAGGCCGGCGTGTGTGGCCCAGGGCTGGCCCAGCCTGGGAGAGGGAGGACAAACCAAGCAGGAACTCAGGCCCCCAGGCTGCTGCAGACTATGAAACTTGCCAGGTCCCCACCCACAAGGGGGGCAAGGGGAGCAGCACCAGGCTGGCCCTGAGCTCTTCTCAGGAGTCATGCCTTGATTAACGCTGGGGTCGTGCCTGGAACTGTGGTAGTGCAAGCACGTGTGTGTGTGTGGAGGGGCTGCCGGGAAGGAGGGTCTGGTGATCTTGCTCCTGGGCCGAGGCAAGCTCTGGACCTAGCCTGGACGCACTGCGTGCCCAGCCCTCACCCCTCACCTGCAGGGCGCCCTTTAGGTTGGCCTTAAGCCTCTTCCCATAGTCCTGAACAGAAGCCTGAGGGCTTGGCCCTGGAGTCGGATGGGGGCTTTGGGTCGCAGCCCGGTTCAGGTGGGACCCCCAGCAGCTGGGCTCTAACGCCTGCAGGAAAAGACAGCGGGGCCGGACGAGGGAAAGGCTGGTGTGGGGGCACAGGTGTCTCCAGCCTCCCTCCTCAGCCCCCCAAAAGCCGAGGGAGGGGCCAGGCCCTCCTCCACCCTGTTCAATCCTCCCCGCAAGTTCTGTGCCCGTTCTTGGCTCCACCGTGCAGGAAGCTGCCCTGGAGGCTGGGGTGTCAGGGCCCGGGTACCTTCTCGGCCACCGCGGGAAGCGACTGCTCGGGTCTGACACCACTGGCCTGGCCCAGGGCCTCTTTCAGGGCGCGGTACTCCCGGTAGAGCGCTGGGGGCGAGGGTCAGAGGTCGGGGGGGTCAGGGGTCGGGTGGCTTCCCTCCGGCCCCCGCCAGAACCTCCACCCCGTCCACCCCGCGCGCTCACCGCGGGTCTCCTCGGGCGCCGCCTCCACGTCCTCCTGTGAAGAGAGCGCGTCAGCCGGGGGCCGCGCCCTCAGCCCCCCGCCCCCGGGCAGCCCGCACCTGGCCCGGCCGCCGCCCGCGCCGCCGCCGGAACGCGCGCTCCCAAGCCTGCAGCCGCGCCCGCACGTCCCGCAGCCGCTCCATGGCAGCCCTGCCGCGCTCCGCGCCCCGCGAATCTCCCGCCGCGAGCTCGGCGCCAGCCGCCAGCCAATAGAGGCACTCGGCGACGTCGGAGGCGGGGCGGCGTGGCGGCCACGGGGCTGAGGCAGCCAATCCGGGGGCCCTGGCGGGGAGGCCAATGGGGGGCGGCTACGTCATCGCGGCGCGCGGCGGCGCTGGGCGGGGCGCCCCGGACGGCGGGGCGGGGCCGGCGGTGGTGGCCGCTGCTTCGAGGCCGGTGAGCGAGGCCGGGGGCTGATTGGCCGGCGTGTGCCCCCGGCCCTGCCTGGACGCTGGAGGCGGACGCGGCGCTCGGGGCGGCGCTGACCGGGAGGCGGGGCGGGAGCCCGGGCGGGGCGGCTGCGGGCTGGGAAAGCACCTGGAGCTCCGCGCCGGCCTGAGCGGCGTCGGCCGGGGACGATACACAGGCTTAGATGGGCAGACCCCGCCCGGGAGGCCGAGGGCGGTGGGCTCAGCGCCTCCTGCGGCTCGAGGCCGGGAGGAGCCGGGCGGGGGCGGCCGCACAAAGGCTCCTCCCACGGTGACCACTGGCTGCTTTCATTTCCTCTCGTGACAGGTGCTCGGTTGGTCTGTCCTGTTACAGCGAGGTATGATCGTCCTCGCGAGATTTGTCCAGGCAGAGCGAGGCCGAGGGTTTGGCGTTCGGGGCTCCTCAGGAACCAGTGCCCTAAGGGCTTGTGTTGTGTGTGAGGTCCGCGAAAGCAGGGGCTCTGGGGCCAGACTGCCTCCTGCCCCAGCTCATCACCCAGGCTGTGACCTTGGTCGAGCAAGGCCTAGGTCTTGGTTTTCTAATCTGTTTTCAGGGGGATGACCGGGAAGCAGTTTTGAGGATGAGGTGCCTGGCGCACAGTAAGTTGGCTAAGTGTTGCTGCTGCTGCGGCTGCTGAAATCAGTAGCAGAGGTGACACCTGGGGTACCCTGTGGCCTCAGGCATCTCCTGTGTGCCCTTTGTCAGCTTGGATGTCCCTTCGGCAGTGGCCTCTACCCATCTGAACAATCCCTGGCCTGGGGCCTTCTGAATCCCAAGGGTTTGAGACTTGGTTTCTCAACATGGTTCTCCAGGGAAGAGAGAGATATTTAGACAGATGACAATGACCTCGGTGGGTGAGGGTTGCTTTCTGCAAACCTCCAGGGGTCTCCATGCCTGCCAATGCTCCTGGAGAGTAGTGGGACAGGGGGTTGCGCTGAGAGCTTGTGTCACTCAGGCTGTCTGGACTCTGTGTTCCCTAGTCCTGGTCATTTCTATCTGCCTGCACCTGTGCTTCCCGCCCCTCTGCTGTGCTGTGAATCCAAGGGTGTCCTGCACGAGGCCTCTACGAAGGAGAGGGGAGGGAACTGTGATGTAGCTTCCAGTCCCCTGGGAATGTGCCACCACCTCTAGTGCTTGTGTGTCGGGGGAGGGGCCTAAGTTTTATTCTCCTTTGAGGAAGGGAGGACTTCTGATAGATAGGTTTGTGATTTGAGGGGCAGGGAGTACAGATGGGAGCCCCTGCAGAGCAACAGCCATAAAAAGCATACCCAGGCCAGCTAGTCACTTCTGGTGGCATGCTATTTACATATTGCTTGATGGCTTTGTGTTCCTAAAGAAGCCCCCACACTGCTAGAGAGTGGGGACTGGGAGGTGACCTTGTCCCCCTTTCCACTCTTCCCAGCCCATTGCTAGGCACCTAGCACTTGCTCTTAGGTGCTGAGATGCTCCACGGAGCACCAGCTCTGTGCCAAGCCCCATGCTGGGCTTTCCCACTACCAGTGCATGGATGGGGCTGTGGCCTGGTCATGTTCTGTGGTGTCTTCCCTGCTGAAGAGCCCTTCCCCACAGGTGGCTTCCTGCCGGGCCCAGCACCATGCACACGCTTGTGTTCCTGAGCACGCGGCAGGTGCTCCAGTGCCAGCCAGCTGCCTGCCAGGCTCTGCCCCTGCTGCCTCGCGAGCTCTTCCCTCTGCTGTTCAAGGTGGCCTTCATGGACAAGAAGACCGTCGTGCTGCGCGAGCTGGTGCACACGTGGCCCTTCCCACTGCTCAGCTTCCAGCAGCTGCTTCAGGAGTGTGCCCACTGCAGCCGAGCCCTGCTGCAGGAGCGGCCCAGCACAGAGAGCATGCAGGCCGTGATCCTGGGGCTGACAGCCCGGCTCCACACCCCAGAGACCGAGGCTGGCACACAGCCCCTCTGCAGGTATGGGCTTGCCTGAGGGGCCCTCAGGCCTGGGGGGGGTGCAAAGAGGGTCCCCTGAGAGGTTCCAGGCTGGTACAAGAGGTCAGTGCAGGAACAGGCATGTTGCTCTTGTCCCAAGGTATCTGGGAGTGGGTGTGGGCTCTGCCCCCTTGTCTCCTGCTTCAGCCCACCCATGCTCCCAGGAAGCATGCCCTGCGGGTGCTGGACATGACAGGCCTCCTGGATGATGGTGTGGAGCAGGACCCTGGCACCATGAGCATGTGGGACTGCACAGCAGCTGTGGCCCGCACGTGCATCGCACAGCAGCAGGGCGGGACTGTGGAGCCTGGGCTGGACCCCATTCCTGTGGAGGTGCGTGTGGATCTGCGGGTAAACCGGGCCTCTTATGCATTCTTGCGGGAGGCGCTCCGCAGCAGCGTTGGCAGCCCGCTGCGGCTCTGTTGCCGAGACCTGCGGGCTGAGGACCTGCCCATGCGCAACACCGTGGCCCTGCTGCAGCTTCTGGATGCCGGCTGTCTGCGCCGCGTGGACCTGCGCTTCAACAACTTGGGCCTTCGCGGCCTGTCCGTCATTATCCCACATGTGGCCCGCTTCCAGCATCTGGCCAGCCTGCGGCTGCACTACGTCCATGGGGACTCACGGCAGCCCTCCGTGGATGGTGAGGACAACTTCCGATACTTCCTAGCTCAGATGGGCCGCTTTACCTGTCTTCGGGAGCTCAGCATGGGCTCCTCTCTCCTCTCAGGGCGGCTGGACCAGCTGCTCAGGTGAGCAGGCCCCACTGTTGCTGCACTCCTTCCCTCCCCTCCATGAGACTTTCCCCTGGCCTTGCCTGTTCGTGACCTCTTGTGTCCTTTGCAGCACCCTGCAGAGTCCCCTGGAGAGCCTGGAGTTGGCCTTCTGCGCCCTGCTGCCTGAGGACCTGCGCTCCCTGGCACGGAGTCCCCATGCTGTCCACCTCAAGAAGTTGGACCTAAGTGGCAATGACCTGTCTGGCAGCCAGCTGGAGCCCTTTCAGGGTCTGCTGCAGGCAGCAGCAGCCACACTGCTGCACCTTGAGCTGACCGAGTGCCAGCTTGCCGATACCCAGCTACTGGCCACACTCCCTGTGCTGACCCGCTGTGCCAGCCTCCGCTACCTCGGTCTCTATGGCAACCCATTGTCCATGGCAGGCCTTAAGGAGCTCCTGCGGGACTCGGCGGCACAGGCTGAGCTGCGCACAGTGGTACACCCCTTTCCTGTGGACTGCTATGAGGGCCTGCCCTGGCCGCCGCCTGCCTCTGTCCTGCTGGAGGCCTCCATCAACGAGGAAAAGTTTGCCCGTGTGGAAGCTGAGTTGCACCAACTGCTGCTGGCCTCAGGGCGTGCCCATGTGCTCTGGACCACGGACATCTATGGGCGCTTAGCTGCAGACTACTTTAGCTTGTGATCTCTGAGCTCTGGGTGAGAGACAGGCTGTCCTGGGGTCCAGAGCTGCTGAAGGCTGCTCCCCCACTTGGCTAGGCGGAGCCTTTGCTGGGACCCTGCTAGAGGCCTGACACAAAGGCACTGGTCTCTCATTTTCCTGCTTTTGGGCGCACCTTGAGCTTCCCTGTGCTTTCTGCAGTGCTCTGGGCAGTCTGCCTTGCTCCTGCTCTCCTGACTGGCTGACCATCTGTGGGCCTGAGGGCTGCGTTTCAGGCCCACTTGGTTTAGCTGCGCTTGGCTGCCCTCCAGCATCCTGGTCCTCTCTGTGGAATTTCCTGGGGTCCCAGCTGTGAGCTGAGAGAGAGTGTGCTCTTCGGGTCCTTCCCAAGAGCAGACTGCCCTGAGGTTTAAGTTGGGGCAGGGGCCTGCTTCAGGGAGGGTTGGGTCTCCGTGCACTCCGGGGCTTCTCACGGTTCTCCCTGCCCTGGCACCCAGGAGGCCGCCTGTTGGCTGGGCTTTGGGGCCAGAGAGTGTCCTTAAGGTACAAATGTGGAGTGCGTTTGGAACTTAAATTTGTGGCTGTTTTTTCTGTCCTAATTGGTCAGAGTGACTTGTCCCTGGCTCTGCTGGCACCCCAGCATGGCTGCTGGGTAACAGCTGTCTTCTAGTGTGCCGCCCCCTCCCCTTCCCGGGCATCCCCAGCAGCTCGCAGCGTGTGGGCCCGCAGCGTGTGGGCCTGGCGGCGCGGCCCGGCGCCCCTCCCCCGTGGGCAGGTGCAGGAGGCCGGCGCCGGGCGGCCGGGCCCTGCCGAGCTGGAGGTTGGGTCGCTCTGGGCGGGGTCTTTCCTGGAGGGCCTCAGTGCGGGCGTCGGGAGCCTCCCTGGCCACCCTCGGTCCGCACCCCGGGAGCGCAGAGCCGGGGTCCCCCGCCCCCGGGCCCACATAAGGCTCGCCGCACACTGCGCAGCTTCCATCCTTTACTGACGGCGCCGGCGCATGCGCGAGCGAGCCGCGTCATTAGCGCGCGCCCCTCAGCAGCGCGTCCCGTGGGCGGCCGGGCGGTCGGCGAGGAGCAGCTTGGAGCGGTCGATGACGAACATCTCGTGGCCGCGCTCGCCGCGGAGCTCCTCGAGCTGCGCGAAGGTGCAGGGCCCGTCCGAGTAGTCGTTGACGAACAGCGCGCCCTCGCCCGGCGGCCCCGGCGCCCGTGGCCCGCGCCGCCCGCGGCAGATGAGGGCGGCCAGCAGCAGCGCCGTGAGCGCCAGCAGCGCGATGGCCGCCGCCACCGCCGCCTGCGTGGCCAGGCCCAGCGCGCGGAAGGCCAGGCTGCCCGCCTCGTGCAGGGGCTCGCGGCCGGCGGCCGGCGGCGGCGGCCGGGACAGGTTGACCAGCAGCTCGAAGGGCACGCGGGCGGCGCCGCCGGCGTTGGAGGCCTCGCACTCGTACTTGCCGGCGTGGGCCAGGGTGATGTTGGCGAGGAAGAGCATGCCGCTGCCCGTGTCGGGGGCCGCGGGCGCGCCCGGGCCCGGCGCGCCGCCCTCCGGCTGGGCCTGCGCGCGCGGCTGCCCCTCGCGAGGCTGGGCCAGCTTTCTCCAGGTCACCAGGGGCTGCGGGTAGCCGGAAGCCTGGCAGGCCACCCGCAGGTCCTCCCCCAGGTTGGCCGTCACCTCCAGCGGCTCCACGTGCACAGAAGGCGGGATGCAGATGAGGCTACTGCCAGAGACGTCCAGAAGACTCTGAAGAGCCAGGCGCGGGGGCTCCGCACACGTGATCTTCTTGTCCCTGGAGCTGAGCAGCCGCTGGCCGTCCTCCTTGATCCAGGCTCCCAGCCAGTGCAGGGCACAGTCACAGCGCCATGGGTTCCCTGCGGGCAGAGCGGCAGTGGGCAGGTAGCTCAGGGGTGGCCCAGAACGCAGCCTGTGCAGTTGGGCTTCTTGCGGGCAGCGCAGGAGCCCTTTGCCCACCTCCCACAGAGTTGAGGGCCCCTGCCACCCCTTCTCTGACTCCAAGCTCCTTGGAGTGTGGGCAGGCTCTTCCCTGGCTCCTTTAGTTCTGTGATGCACAACCAGTTCACTTCACCAATCTCTAAGAAAGTCCCTGCTTCTCAGGTCTCTCCCTGCAACAAGTTCCACTATTTTGGGGGAAACTCTGTCCCCCCATAGACATCCACTGCCACTAAAATTTTGCAAATCTTGTCAGCCTTGTCTTCAGTTATTATCTCTTGGAAAGGCTCCCAGTCCTGAGCTCATCTTTCCAGTTTTTGCCTGCCTGCCATCAAATGGCCCCAAAGTGTGCAAGCCCCTCAACTCTGTCCAGTCTGTCCAGAGACCTCTACCTTTTCTGTCTCGCTTAGGCAAGGTCCCTGAGTTGTGTCCCTACCAGCGTCCCAATTCCTAGCAGCCTTGTTATTGCTGCAGGTAGTGGTGTGGCCCTCCAGAGTGCTGCCTGATGGTCTGCAGCTCAGAAGCACTGCCATGGGAGCCCCCTCCACACCTGTGCCTGCTCCCTACTGACACCACTGTGGCCAAAGAAGACAACTTTGCATGAGACCCCCTTGCCCCAGAAAGAGGTACCTGTGAGGCGCAGGACCTGCAGGCTGGCCAGGGGCTGCAGGGCCTCACGGCTGATGGTGCCCAGCTGGTTCCTGCTGAGGTCTAGCAGTGCCAGCGAGGAGAGCCCGGCCAAGGCCTGGTCCTCCAGCAGCTCAATGCTGTTTTCTTGCAGGTGCAGCTCCTGCAGTCGCTGAAGCAGGGACAGCAGACCATCAGGGAAGGGGGTCCTGGGGGACAGGTCCTCTTCTTACCAGGCTATACTTAAGTTGACTTTTCTCCCCTTCACTGCTCCAACCCAGCAGGGCAGGTAGCAGTACAGGAGGACCCCTTCTTGCCCCATCCCCACCCCCCTCACCGGCAGGTGCAGGAAGGTGAAATCCAGCAACTGCACCAGCTGGTTACCAGCCAGGTAGAGTACACGCAGCTGGGCCAGGCCAGTGAAAGCACCGATGCGCAAACCATGTAGCCGGTTGCCTGTGAGTGCCAGCTCCAGCAGGCGTGGCTGCGCGCGGAAGGTGCCTGGCTCCAGGGCACGCAGGCTGTTGTTGTGCAGGTAGAGATGGCGCAGGGCAGTGAGGGGCGCCAGGATGCCTGGCTCCAGGTTCACGATGCTGTTGTCCTGCAGGAACAGCGTCTGCGGCCGGAGGAAGAGGGAGGGTGGGTATTTACCCTGCTGAGGGAGTCTGCTTCTTCCCTAGGGTGCCCCATCTAGCCACTTGGGGCGCTCACACACCCCGTTTCTCCCTGTCGCAGGTACCCCTAGCCCGCAGCTGGTGGTCCCACGTGGTGCCCACCTGCGTCCCGGGTGGGATTCCAGGTGGGATGACGCGCAGCCGCAGAGCGCCACACTCCACTGTGGTGCTGTAGCAGCGGCAGGTGGTGGGGCATCCGGCAGCGTGGAGTGGGAGACTGGGCACCAACAGCAGTGACAGCAGCAGTAGTGTGGGCGCCCCTGGGGCCATCTCCCGCGGGACTGGCCGTGGACCAGAAGCTGCAGTCTCCTCACCAGCCTCCCTACAGTGTGGCCCGCGATGGGATGCACCTCTGGAAACACAGGTTGGCAGGCCTGCCCTTACATTTGAGAGCCAGCAAAGAGCATGGATGAAGGCCCACACCCTGTGTCTAATTTTTGAAAAGCTGTACATCAGTTCAAGAAACTGATAAATAAAACATTCATTGCTCTCCTTTACAAAAACAGTGATAAAGATCTGGGGCATCAGATTCCAACTTAGAAATTCTGACGTCCTCAGTCTTGCTACACTGGCCGCTGGGGAGAGCCAACTCCACCCAGCCCCCTTCTCTTCACATTTCCGTGTTCCTGGCACTGTGAGTGGCTTCCTGATCATGCATGTGGATGTTGAGGTCACGTTGCCCTCCACGCCCTAGCAACTGATCACTCCTTGGATCTAGGGTGCAAGAGGGTGGTGTGAGGTATAGGCTTGGGGACACATGGGCAGTGAAATCCAGGGCCCAGTTACCCAAATGGGCTGGAAGCGAAAGAGCAGGCTCTGGCAGACACATCTCCTTGTCCACATGGTCTCCACATGGACCCAGTGGGGACGGGCATGAGACCTCATCAGGCACAGAGCCCAGAGCAGAGGTCCTTTTTGTGCCCCCAGGGCAAGGCCTCAGGCCCCAAGCTGCCCGTGTCCCTGTCCTTGCTTGACCTTGACCCAGTGTTAATGCTAGTTGTTTTATCCCTAGAAGTCATGCTCTGTTCCCAACCTTGGGATTCACCTGTTGTGACTTGGGCAAAACTAGTCTGAGTGGAGCCACCAGCCACAGGAAAATCAAATCCCAGCTTTGTCCAGCCCCTGTTCTGCCTCCTGGGGGTGGGAGTAGGTGGGACAGCTTAGCTAGAATTGGGGATTTTCTCAGGGAGCTTGTTAGAGAATTGGAGGATGAGACAGACACTAAGAGAGTCAGTTTAGAAGCTATGGGCCTGTGTTCTCCATGCTGGCTCGCAGAAAAGTGTTTCTGTCTTTGGGGGTAGGTGGGGCCCTGGGACAGCTGTGGTGTCAAAGGGGCCTGGGCCACCGAGTTTTTAGTGTAGTTCCCCAAGTGGGCTCTAGGAGCAGTGACCTCCTGGACTGTGAAGGAGTGAGTAGTGTTTTGGAGGTTTACACACATGCAACTCTGATCCTAGAAAGACGGGAAGGCCTGGGTTTAGTACCAGGTACAGTACACAGTTCCGGGTACAGTTTTAAAGGTGGGGACCTTGGCTGAGAAACTAGCCAGTCCAGAGCCAGGGATGGTGAGGCTGAGGGTGTGCTGTCACCCAGCTCCTGGCCATACCTCAAGTGGTCCCTGCTCTGAACACCTGCCTGTTCACCAGTTCTCCCCTTTGGCGAGAGTGAGTCATGTGGAACGGTACCAAGGGGCCTTGGTATTCGTTTAAATCTTGCTCTAAATTGTAACTCACATGATTACTTAAAGTCACTAGAGGTGAGGTAGGCACAGCAAGTTTTAATGGAACAGCTTTGCCCAGGCAGAGGCGGTCCCCAGGTGTCTTAGGATGTGTGTGAACCCCAAGAAGCTGGAGGCATTCTCTGGGCCCCTGGGATCCATTTCTTTGAGCAAAAGGGCTGGCCCAGGGCTCCTCCACCCAGTCTCCAGCGGCAAGGCCTTTCAAGTGGAGGTTCTTGGCCTCCTCCTCAGGACGTGGGGTACTGCTGTTCACATGGAGACCCCCTAGATGTTGATTCGTGTAGAAGGGCCGGCCTGGGCAGGGATGAGGGCCCAGGTGGGAAGAGCAGGGGAGGCCAGCCCAGAAATCCTTTTACCCAGCGGACAACCCCCTAATCCGGCTGGCAGGGGGCGGGGCGGCGCACACAGGATTCGGTGATGGCTGTCACTGTCTCCAGGGCGCCCATCTGTGCAAGGGATGGAGGGGAGAGGGAGGAAGCCCTGCGAGCCCCTCGAGTGCAGTGGGAGGCCCGAGTGGGGTGCCTCGACCCCCCACGGCGTCCCCTGCACCCCCTCCAGCGCGGATTTATCCCCGGCCGGTTCAGGGCAGGGCGTGGTCCCCGCCAGGCCGCACGCCCTTCTCGGTGCGCGCCGGTGGCAGAGCCGGGACGGCGCCATCCCGCCCCCACGCCCGCTGACCTTGGGTCGGGCGCCCCCTCACCTGACGCTCCCGCGGCGCGGCTCCCCCGCCGAGCCCGGCGCCCTGGCCACCGAGCAGCGCCGGGCAAGGGAGGGGGGCGGGCGCCGATCGCGCAAGCGCACTGGGGCCTCCGCGCCTCCCGCCCGGACGCCCAGGCTTGCCGTCGCGAGCGAGGGCCGAACCGGAGGACGCCCCAAGCCCAGGGTGTGGGGAGGGAGAGGAAGGGCCCGCGACCCCGACCCTCCCGGCCGTCGGGGCCCGGGCCGCGGCAGCACCACGGACAGCGCCGGGCGGGGCGGGGCCACGGCGCACCTCCGCCGCGCACGCGCACTCGGCCGGCGCGCGCTCCGGGTGGCGCGTGCGCAGCGACGCGGGCCGGGGACGCCCGGAGGGCGGAGGGAGCTCAGGGCGGCGGGGCGGCGGCCAGCAGCGGGGCCAAGTCCATGGTGAGGGCGAGGCGGCGGCCCTGCCAGCGCACGTGCGAGGGCAGCGCGGGCGCGCCGGGCGCGTACTCGAAGCAGGCACTGAGCTCGAAGGCCAGGGCCGAGCGCACCAGGCCCACGCCGCCCGCGCGCTCCGGCGCCGGGTGGTAGAGGCGCCCGTTGGCGGCCAGGGGCAGCAGGCGCGCGGGCTCGAAGGGCACCGTCAGGGCCTCGCCGCCGCCGCAGTAGGAGAGGCGCGGGGGCGCGGGGCCCGCGGCCAGCAGGTGCGTGTAGACCACGGGCCGGTCCTCGCAGCGCAGGAAGTTGCGCTCCCTGCCGCAGAGCGAGAGGAAGGGGAAGGAGGCCTCGTAGCGCCCGCTGCGGTTGGGTCTCAGGCGGGAGAAGAAGGTGACCAGGAACTGCGGGTCTGGGGGGGCGAAGGGCGCGGCTGCTCACCATGCTCCCCGAGGCGGGCGGCTCGCCCTGGGCCGCGCCAAGAGCTGGCCCCGGCCTCAGCCTAGACATCCAGGCTCTTGAGCGCAGGACGCCCAGCCCCCTGCTGTGGGCAGCCCGCGGGCAGGGCGGGGAGCGGAGCTCGCCAGGGCCCTTTCCGAAGGGAGAAGGAAGGTGGGGAGGAGGGCGCAGCAGTACCTTTGAAGCAGGTGGTAAAGTTCTTCATCTTGGAGTCATCCAGGAAAAGCTGCAGACAGAGGGGCAGGCCGAGGCCCATGAGTCCCAGCTGGAAGCCCGATGGAGCCGGCCCCGTCGCTCTGTGCACACCACGTGCAGGGAGGCGCGTGGGTAAACCTGGTGGCCTGCCGACTTTCCCGCATCTGCTCCGCACGCGGGGCCGTGCGTCCTCGCGCACCGGTTCTCGGCTGGCATGCCTTCCCCGCACCTCTTCCCTCCTTTCAAGTTTCTAGTCAGATACGCCACCACTTCCGTGGCGGCGACCTGACTTGCCTCCTCCCGGATATGCCGGATGCCCCGGCCAGGTTTTCCAAAGCAGGCGGGGCGGAACTGGGGATGCAGGACTCTGGCGCCTGAGCTCAGTAGAGTCGGATTCACTTACCTTAGAGACCCCGCCCACCCCTCCAGCCCGCCCCCCCTGGGACCTTCCTCCAGCCCCGCCCCCTCGGGGGGCACTCTCTCCAGCCCCGTTCCTCGGGCACTCCTCCAAGCCCCGCCCCCTTGAGGGACCTTCCTCCGGCCCCGCCCCTCGGGCCCTCCCCCAGCCCCGCCCCCTTGGGGGGCCCTTCCTCCGGCCCCGCCCCCTTGGGGGGACCTTCCTCCGGCCCCGCCCCCTCGGGGGGCACACTCTCCCTCCGGCCCCGTTCCTCGGGCCCTCCTCCAGCCCCGCCCCCTTGGGGGACCTTCCTCCGGCCCCGCCCCCTTGGGGGACCTCCCTCCGGCCCCGCCCCTTCGGGGGGGCACTCTCTCCCGCCCCGCCCCTCGGGCCCTCTTCCAGCCCCGCCCTCTGGGGGGGACCTTCCTCTGGCCCCGCCCCCTCGAGGACCCTCCCCCGG